CAGTTACAAATGTTATTACATCTGATTTTATAGTAATTGCATTGTCCTTTTGATAGTTAGGAAAAAATGTTTTAACAAATTTACTATGCAGTAGCAAAATGTCTCTTCATATGGCTCACATCTTTACATATTTTTAAAATTTCTTACACAAAAATCACATTTGCAAATGTTAATTGCATTTTATCATGAAAATGTAGCTTATCTTTAGTTTCTTTTAATCATTCTGTGATATTACTATTGTGTCATGCTTATTTCATTCTGCATTAGTATTTGGGTCTTCATTTTAAATTTCCAAGTTTGTTTCTACCTACTTTATGGACAAATGTTGAAGCAATTAGGAAATCAATTAATGATCGTCTAGTAAAATAGTAAGTATTTTAGTTTAATTACCAATTATGATTCATACAGGTATCATCACAACTCATGCTGTCTGCACCAAATGTGCAGATGAGCAAGGTCTATACAAATTGTCTATAGAAATTATTGATGCTGATTAATTCACTGACACTAGTCATTAGCTTACATTTAGTACTCAAATGATGTACATCTTTGATGCAGAAATTACAGCTCAACAATGATATCTTTTTTTAAAAGATTTATTTTTATTGTAAAGTCAGATATACAGAGAGGAGGAGAGACAGAGAAGATGATCCTCCATCTGCTGGTTCACTCCCCAACTAGCTGTAACAATTGCAGCCAAACAGATCCAAATCCAGGAGCCAGGAGCCTCTCCCAGGCCACAAGCTGGATGGGAAGTGGGGCCGCAGGAACATGAACCAGTACCCGTAGGGAATCCTAGTATATGTAGGGTGAGGACTTTAGCTGCTAAATTATTGCATCCGACCCAGATATTACCACTTTTTAGAGATGAAGACACACAAATATTAAGAACAAGTGTAAAGACAGAATAAATAGGAGGGCCAATTTTTGCTCTCAGTATTCCCCTTTTATATATCATAATTTTCCTGCTGTGACTTCTACCTGGGAACCTCTCGCATGGCCAAGATCATATGCATTTTATTTTATCTACGGAAAGTTCCTTTTATGTCCTCCACTGGAATTAAATATCCCTTATAAAGATTAAAACAAAGAATTCTACCTCTTGCTCTTTTTCCTATTGCTTAAAATAATAACCACAATTGTTTTTTAAAATTTATTTTGTTCTGATGAACTTTACATAGTAGATTTGGGCACAAAGGGCCAAGGGTCAAGGGCTAAGGTAAGTGGGCTAGAACATTGTTTCTACCACAATACTTTATATTTGTTGAACATGCTTGTTTTATGTGTGATATCTCACTTAATAGTTCTCATATTCTTGGGAAGCATCTTGTTATCAATGCATTCCAAGGATCAGAAGCAGAAGCCTACAGAAGTGAAACAGCTTGCTAAAGGCAAAAAGCTAGCAAGAGGCACACTGGTCTGGATATAAACCTAGGTGGCTTTAACCAGATAACCCATCATCTACTATACTGATTCATGTGACAACTCAATATTCATTGTGTTATGAGTCTCTCTCCATGGGATCAGCACCATGGCATGATAGGTTAAGCTTCTACTTGCCTGCCAGAAAGGTTAAGCCCGTGGGCCCAGCGTGGTGGCCTAGTAAATAAAGTCCTTGCCTTCAGGGCACCAGGATCCCATATATGCGTCAGTTCTAATCCCGACGGCCCTGCTCCCCGCTTGTGGTCTGGGAAAGCAGTCGAGAACAGCTCAAAGCTTTGAGACCCTGCACCCCTGAGGAGAGACCTGGAAGAGCTCCTGGCTCCTGGCTTCAGATTGGCTCAGCTCTGGCTGTTGCAGTCACTTGGGCAGTGAATCAACAGATGGAAGATCTTCCTCTGTCTCTTCTCCTCTCTAGATATATCTGACTTTGCAATAAAAATAAATAAATCTTTAAAAAAAATATACAATGAAAGTTAATCATTTAGCAAAAAAGGTTAAACCCATAACTTCTCTTCAAATAAATACATTAACATTCATTCTAAAAAAATATTCTCTCTCTCCTTTTATAAATATGTATAAATTCTTTTTATCTTTATCATTTTATATGCTATTGAATCTAATAGCTGAAATGTTTATTTATTTGAAAGCACAGTTAGAATGACAGCAAGAGAGAGATGGTACAGAGAGATGGATCTTTCATCAGCTGATTTACTTCCAAATGGCTGCAGTGGCTGAAGCCGGGTCAGTTTGAAGCCAAGGACCAGGAGCTCCTGCTGGGTTTCCGTTCATCATAACAGGGGGCCTAACGAATTGAGTCATCATCTGCTGCTGCTTTGGCCATAAGCAAAGAGGTGGAGCAGCTGGCCACTTCCCATCCAGCTCCCTGCCTGAGGCCTGGGAAAGCAGTCAAGCACTGCCCAAAGCCTTGGGACCCTGTACCCACGTGGAAGACCCACAAGAAGCTTCTGGCTCTTGGCTTCGAATTGTCTCAGCTATGGCAGTTGCGGCCACTTGGGGAATGAACACAGTAGATGGATGATCTGTCTTTGTGTATCTACTTTTCTCTGTTAATATGCCTTTCCAATAAAAATAAACACAGAAATCTTAAAAAAAAAAAGTGGAGCAGTTGGGACTGAAACCACTAAACATATGGGATGCCGTGCCAGGTACTTACTCTTTTTAAAATATTTCTTTATTTGGATAAAAGGCAGAGTGGAAGAAGGGCAGATAAAAAGGTCTTCCACCTACTGGTTCAATCCCCACATGGCTTCAATAGCTACGTATCTGGGCTAAATTACAGGCAAGGACTCTGAACTCCATCTCAGCTTCTCATGTTGGTGACAGGAACTTGAGTACTTCCTGTGGCTTTTCCAAGAGTAGCAGAAGGGTGCTGGATCTCAAGCACAGCAGCATGGAACTGAATCTCTGATGTAGGATGCTAATGTAGCACAGGGCCACTTAATCTGCTGCCCCGTACTGTTGGTCCTGAATCCTACTAAACTTTCATGGTCATTAGTCTAAGTCTTATTTCCTTGTGCAGATCTGTTTTTGAGTAAATAGGAACTAATCCTTTTAGAAAAACAAACACGGAAGGTCCTTATTCAGAAAAAGAAGAAATTGCTAGTACAAAGATAAAATACTATTTTTCTTTAGATTCACATCTTTACTTTAGCATTTAATGTAATTATATTAAACATGCTTGACATTCTACAGCTTATTTGTTTCAAATACTGTGAACCAAAGAAAATTATTACTAAATGTAGGAGAATTTTATTTTTCAGTTTAATCTATAAATAAACCTTAACAAGGAAGATTTATAAGTGCCCACATAAGCAAACATTAAAATTTAAAGAGAACTGGCCACAGAAATCTGGAATATACAGATTTTTTTTTAATTTCTAAAAGGAACTTAATTTATGTATAAAAATATTAAAATAGCTACCAGAAAATTGGTCAAAAATAGAAGACTAGAAAATTACTTGAAAATAATTTCAAATGCTAAGACACATGCTTTTGATTTATCTCACATGTACACTGCATTTATGTATTACATATGCTTCTATACATAACACACATATGTACATAACATACACACATATACCACATATACAGAACACACATAAATTACTCACACATTAGAGGATAGATGATGCTCTACTGACAGTCCTGTATTCCTGAAATTTCCATTGCTTCCTAAAATTTCTCCTAAATATACCATAGTATGGTCACTCAATAATTTAATCTACTATCTCCCAGTTTTGTCAATTTACCCAATCATGTCCTTTATAGCACCTTTCTCCTTCCAATACAGAATCCAATCTATAGCCAGGCATTATGTTTGGTTTTCATGTATCATCAACTGCTTTGGATGCACAACATTCTGTTGTCTTTTCTACAGGATACCGTACATGTGGTGGTAGATGGGAGGTCTTCCTTAACCCAAAATGCTAATCTAAGGCTATTTAATTGAGTTTAGAGTGTTTCTTCACATTCATGATTCAGTTGCCAGCAGGAGAAAAGCTTTAATTCTTCTGATTTAATTTTACAGTTCTTTTTGTGATGATATGAATTTTTTTTTTTAAATTTCACAGACTTCTTAGTTTAAGAGCACCCTCTTCTGTGCAGTTCTTTCATGGATAATTTGTTGAGGGTCATGGGATAGAGTATCACATATTTGTGTCTTATTTCTTCGTTCCACAAGATCCTTACCTTTTCCCTCTAACTTCCTTCTCTCCCGTTACAGCCTAGGTCCGAGGGGAATCCATCCATTCATTGATCTGATTTCTCCCTCCAGGAGCAGTGATTCTCCAAGGGCGCCACTTTAGTTTGTACGCACTGTTGGGTCATTCTTTCAGCCAGGGCTGAGGAGGACCAAGTCCTGACATACACGCTGTATTTTGGGATTTATTGCCGTACTTGATAATTCTGACATGACCTTGTATTTGATCTAGTTCTGCTGTTTCTGCCTACTCTTTAACAGTCTTTTTAGTCTTGGACTCTGCTGTTTGCTAAACCCAAGTTTTAAGTGGCAGGTGACATGTAAAGTGCTATTTGCTTCAGGGACACAATGAGGGAGAGCCAGAATCAGGTAATGGACACTGATGTCTAATAGTGTGTCTTCCCTTTTTGTTGTTGTTGTTGTTTATACTTTTGCCATTGTATATTTGTTTTGTTTTAAACTAATTTCAAATCTTAATTTGATTTGATTTAAAAGATGCTGTATCATATGTTTTCCATAATAAAATGTGGCATGAGTAATATAATAAAGGAAAAAGGAAGAAAAGGAGAAAATACAGACCAAAAATAAAAGAATAAAGAATAATGGTAACCCAATAAAGACAATTGGGTATGTGAATATCAGATTTTGAAAGCTACTTCAAAGATGGGTTTTAACATTCCTTTAAGAAATAACAACAGGATTTCAGCACAAGTACAGTCTGCAAAAGTGATTCCTTTAAGATCAATACTATCTTATACTGTACTTGCACTAGTAAGTCCTGAATTTCCTATGCTTCTGCACACATACAAACACACATACGTATAGTACACACACTTACTTGTTTCACGTTCTGGAGCTCTTCTGCCAATTGTTTCCTTTGCCTCTCTGATTCAAATAATTTTTCCTATATGTAAAAATGTTATGAAGTCATCCATAAGTATGATTGCTTTGTTTTTTGTTTCAAAGCTTATATATTTCCCAAAAAACAAATAACTGTAATTTCAAAATATAGTTCCCAATAACTTTTCTGGATGCATATATGCCATTTAAAAGGAATTGCCCACAAAATAATGGTGATGTCAATGCATTTTTCCATTACCTCAATTTTGTAAAATTTCAAAATTTGAAGTCCAAAAAATTTGAAGTCAGCCCAAATCAAAATATTTGAACATTAAACAGATTCTGGAGCTGTCATCACCAAAGTGTTTCCAAACACAGCAGTATCATTATTAGAAGTTATAAGCAATGGTTTTTAACCATACCAAAGAGGGTATGAAGGAGGATATGCAAATCTGAACTATTATTTTGCTACTTTTAGTTAATTCTTAGAAGATTATCCATAAAAAGACTAGTGTAACTAAGATATAAGATAATACCAAGGCAAATGAATGTTAGCACATTTTATCGGTTTAATAAGAGATAGTAAGAGAAATTTAAGAGCCATTTCACTACAAACTGGAGCAAAGGAATCGCTTGAACCTTAAGTTGAGAAGCAAAAGTTCATAGTAATACTGCAATGTTTATTATAGCAGGCAATAATCTTTTTGGCTATTCCAGTTCAATCTTGTCTAAGAGGTGAAATCAAAGTATATGAGGATGAATGTATTACAGCAAGCTAATGAATATGCCACAGACCAGGAGCCAAGAGACAGCTGGCTCCCGTGCTTTTATGTTCTGGCAAGTCACCTTCATTCTATCTGCTCTACTTTCTTGCATCTGGAAATGGAAAATATATCTATTTTCATTCATATTTGAAAAGCAGAAGCAATATGAATTTTGAAGAAAGGCTTTGTAAAATAAATACAGTGCCTTAAAATTTCACTCTTGTAAAATTAAAAGTATTCACTGGCACAAAATTATCTTGGTTTCATTTTGACTTGAACCTTAAATCAGACATGAAGAACAGTGATGCCACTGTACAATGAAAAGTGGGAGAGATCATCTTTATAACCTTTATTTAATAACTCGTCATTTGTGTGTATGTGTAAAATGCATGCAGAAAAATATAAATGCTACCACAAATAAAATACTCAATATTCTGTATACTAACTTGTAAAATTCCTTAAATGATTCTCAATTACTAAGTAGATTTTGCAATAAAGGTAATTTAAAAATTTAGAATTTGTTTTATCTGAAATTTCAGGCTTTTAAAGATATTTTCAGCTACATTTTATAAGCTTTAAAGATGAAACTGGATTTATTGAATGACTCCTCAGGGAAGCCTTAGTCTAATGTTACATGAGTATTCCATATAAACTTTTAAATTAAAGTTCCAATATTTAAGAATTACATTGAAATAAAAGTTGAAATATATCATTAAACTCAATAATGATAAAGTTTAAATTAAAGATATCTAAAAGTCTTAAAAATTCTGAAAAATGAAAGACTGAATGGTTTACACAGAAATAAAGCACATTATAATGCTGTCACATAGAGGCATCAACACTGACTAACTTTTCCAAGACAGTATGAAGAAATGATTGCTGGTTTTTAAAAAAAAGATTTAATTATTTTTATTGGAAAGGCAGAGTTACAAAGCGAAGGGGAGACAGAAAGATCTTCCATCCTCTGTTCACTTCCTATGTGCCACAATGGCCTGAGCTGGGCAGATTCAAAGCAGCAGACAGAAGCTGTTTGGGTTCTACCACGTGGGTGGGGGCCGCATGTACTTGAGCCATTTTTTGCTGCTTTCCCAAGTCATAAGCAGGCAGCTGGATTGGAAGTGGAGCAGCCAGGACACAAACCAGAGCTCTTGTAGGATGCTGGTACCGTAGGAGGAATCTTAGCTTATTATGCCATGGGGTTGGCCCCTAATGATGGCTAATTTTAAGACTAAATTTACATTTTCCTTCTAGACTTCTAAGTATTGTCTCCAAAAATATGGAAAGATAGTAGCTTTAATATTCTATAAATACATATTTAAAATATTCCTGTAGTAGTGAAACGTTGCTAAGCATTTGGAAAGACAGTGAATAGTTTTTTTTTAAGGAATGTGGTAATCTATAAGGAAGTTTATATGTTCATATCCATTAATAAAGCAATTATAGTTTTAGTGACTTATTCTGTATATATACTTGAAAATAACCCAAAGACATAACTATAAAACTGTTCAATGTAGAACACTCTGGGACTGATGGCTTCCAGTTTTAGCTGTTCTACTCTGATTAAGCATTCTGCTAATGATCTGGGAAAGTAACAGATGACAGCCCAAGTTTGGGCACCTACCACCCACGGGGGAGACTGGGAACGAGCTCCTGGTTCCTGGCTTTGGGATAGGCCAGCATTAGGAGCTGAGGTCATTTGGGGAGTGTCATTAAGAACATGGAAGATCTGTAGATATTTACCCAAGATATGTATCTAACCGACAAAAAAAAAAAAAAAGAAAAAAAAATATAGGCAAGTTGCAAAAAAGAAGTGGGTGTAAAAAACAATTCATGTAAAATTTTATATTTATTTATTTGTAGAGGCTTCTGTTTTTTTTAAAAAAAAAGTTTTAGATTCACACCAAAACCAAGAGGGAGGTGCAGATACTTCCCATACACTCCTTGCTCACACAAATATATATTTTAAAAATACAGTTGCCTGTGAACAGAAACTTTCTCTACTGGATCCTTTCGAGGGTCCAGCAATTAACTAACATAGGAATAAAATTTTCTTCTGTATTATTGTAAAATGTACCTAACACAAAGTAAATCACAGACAGTAAAATTTCACTTTTGTGTTAAGACACAAAAATGTACATCCTCGGAGTAAAATAATGATAGTTACGTAGCCTTCTTTGAAGATCTCAGACATAACAGCTTTCTGTAAAGATTATTATTTAAACATAGTATTCTACTAAAAGTAATAAGATTAAGTATGAAAAATCAAACATTTTTGGTATGTTTGGTATACATGCATTTCTTATTGCTTTAAATCATGCTTTCTTAATTACAAAGGACATTAGCAAACTAAGATGTTCCTTAAATTCAATCCAGAATTCTTTTCTTTTCTTTTTTTTTTTTTCAATATATGGCTGTAAAAAGAAGTAGTTACCTTGAGGGTCTTCATTTCTTCCAAGGCATCATTTTTTTCACGCTGAAGCTTTTCCATTTCATCTGCTTCTAAAGAATCACAGGGAAGAAGCTGTCAACATTGAAATATAAGAGAAAAGTTTTGCATTAGATGTTAATTATGAGAACCAACACTAGAGTCCTTTGAATTAGCATTCAGCGTTTGCATTTTAATAAACAGATGCAGTTTCTTACTTTAAAATTAAACAAAATATCAAATTAATCTGGAGCAATCAGATTCATTTAAACTTCACCTTACATTGTTGGTATTTATGATTGAATTGAGATCATAATAAGGTACACACATTATCTTGTTACCTTTATGATTTTTCACAATACAATTTTCCTTAAAAGTTCAAATCCCAAGACTTCATAATGTTAAAAAAAAACTTAAGAAATTAAACCTACAAATTATTTCCTAAAGATATTCCAAAAGCATCATGCCCAAAGCTTACAAAATCAAAACTGTTTATTTGATGTCAATAACATACTTTGCAACTATGAATCTCATCTTAACTAAATGAAATATAATACAACAGCTAAGTAGCTTAAAAAGATTCCTACACAGAAACTGTGAGTTAGTTATTGTAAATAATTCATGTAAAAATGAACAGCAACAAAAATAGCACAGATGACAACTTCTCTTGCATCTTATTTGATCTCTTTGACATTTGAATACAAAGTTAAAAACGAAAAAACCCAATGGTAATCTAACCAAATATACAATTCAACTCTAAGTTCTCCATGGGAAGTATAAAAGAACTAAAAAGTATTGTAAATACAGAGGATTATATGGTGAAAATGATTGTTATTTAGGTAAAGAAGCCTAGTAGGTAAAGAAGCAAAAATAGGAATAAAATACAAATAATGTATTATGAATTTGGGGACACTTCACTATATGTGGATACACTGATAAGTACTGTCTATACTCAGTATTAAACAGCCCCGTCCCACGTTATGAGGAATGAGCAGACACAGCTGAGTAACTTGCCAAAGGGTTCACAGCTAACATATGGCCATCAAAGTCACCACTGATACCACAGTGTGTGACTTTACAAATTATTCCACAAAGGTCATGGTGGAACAAACATGATAAATTCAGATTTGCTTTGTTAAATTGGGGAGCTTGGGGGGACATTTTTCCCCTCAACATTACCAATTCCTTTTTTTCCACCATACTTAGTTTTGGATATCCATGGCTATTATTTATAATTTATATGCGCTCATTTTCTTCATCTGTTAAATCAGAACTATTAACACAGTAATATGACTCAGTTTCTCTATCATCCTAGACTACTTGTGGACAGACTTTCAAATGTAACAATTTTTGCAAAAGTGGAAAACAAAGGCTAGTACAATGGAGTTGTGCAAGAAGAAACCTAGTGGCAGTTGTATAGGATTTACAAAATATTAACCTTCTTTTCTGCATGCATTTCAGCTGCCTTATTATACTAAAGTGCTAGTTTAAGCTACATCTGAATTAATATCTGCAGCACACTATCCCTCAACATTGAAATGGTTGTTTTATATAACCTTTAAGCCAAAGGAAAATCTGTATTGGTCCCTTTACTTTTTATTGCTTTTAAAGATTTATTCTAATGGCAGAGATACAAAGACAGATGAAGCAACAGAACAAAGTCTTCCATCTGTTAGTTTACTCCAAAAATGGCCACAATGGCCGAGGCTGGTCCAGGACAAAGCCAGGGGCCAGAAACTCCATCTGTGCTATCCATTATGAACTTTCTTGGGCCTTCTTCCTCTGTCTTTCCAGGCAGCTTAGCAGGGCCTTGGAAGCACATCAGCTGGGATTGAAACAGGTGATGCTAGTGGAGTAGACTATGGCTTACATATGCACAATGCTGCCTCATTATATATTCTGATTCCAAGAAGTGAAATGGACAAGGTTCAAAAGTTTAAATACAAGTTTAGATAGCAAAGCTATAACCTCCCCCAGCAATTTTTTTGAGTTACAATATTTTATTAGGACAAATTACAGATTGGGATTTCAGGTTCTAGGGTATGATCATAAACTTCTGAACGTAACATCATGCTACTAAATCACACGAAACAGAATCCATGGTACCATTTTGGGAAGAACACTAGAATGAATACTTAGAACAAACCATGATTTTACCCAGAGTTTTATAATTCCATTGCTATTTACCACTGAGAAATAGAAACTTGAAGCTAAAGAACTGGCCACAGATGTTACTTGTGAATTCTTTGAAAATTCCTTTGTGTGCACATTTTAAAAGACATTGCTATTCAAATGTATTTTAACCAAGGAAGTAGCATGAGAAACAAACTGTTACCACCTAATAACATTTAATAACAATGATTCCAGTCAGAAATCTCTCGAACTTGAGCATTCCAACCTGTACATTTCTTTCCTGTTCCGCTCTTTTCAGCATCAAATTATTCAGCATCATGTAACTTCTGTTTGTCTGATTTGTCCAATAAGCTTTTTCCTCAGGAACCTACTCAATTATCTTCCTCTTATAAAGTTGTGAGTGACTATCCCACTTATTTCAAAATATCTGTGTGCACCAATTTCTCCATCTATTTCCCCTGCTAGGAACTTCTTACAGTCTGTTTTTTACATATCTCCTCTTAGTCCCATATTTTAAAAATCATTCATTGCAATTTCATTAATAAAAGTGCTGCATTAGAAGGTAAATGGCACTCAGTGATTTTCTTAACATACAACACTGCTCAGACATGTTGCTGGAGCTTCTCTTCACTGGACAGTTTCAGTCCATTATGCTACTGTCTTGCTGATCATTCACACCACTTCCAATTTCTTATTTTCATTTCTACTCTTTAAATGAAAGGAGGAGGGCTTGAGAAGCTTTTCAAAGTTTGCTGATTTCTACTTTTCCTGTGTAAGTCTTGAGTGATAGTCATTGTCATTCTTCAATTAATGCTCCCCCAAATGTTCCTGGATCTCTTCCAGCTCCTTATTCCCAGTAGCCTGTGGTTTTGATTCCTGTCAACCTCCTGAACTTAACTCTCTCTCAAACAAACACAAACAGGGGCATCGTCTTCTCTAACCAGAATGAACTTTCTTCCTAGTCTCCCAGTTTCTACTAACAGTACCATTATCTTAACGAAAATTTTTGAGTTATCTTTAATTCCATCTCCTCCTTTTGGTTCTTACATTGAATTAATCTGTAAGTTTTATTTGATGTACTTATTATTGTTGTTTGTGTATATATCTTTCATACATCATTCCTTTCCTTTCTATCACTGTCTTCATTATAGTTTATTATCCTACATTTGAATTCTTGCAGTCACCTAACTATGCTGTCACAAGTTTCGTTTGCATCTTAGTCCTCCTCATGTTGCTGTATGAGGCTGGGGATAATATAAAGAAAGAAGGTCTACTGAACTCGTGGCTTTGAGATTCACGACCCTGGTATGTGTCAGGCTTTAGTGAGATCCTCATGGCAAAAAGCTTCACGATGGAAGCAGAGTGTGTGCAAGGAAATCACATTCAGGGGACATCCTTGGCTTAAAACAACCCATCCTCTCAGGAACGGACGCGGGCCAATCAGACCTGATCCAGTCCCCCCAAACTGCAATGATCTGTGAGGGCACAGCTCCTACAACCTAACTGATTTTGCTAAGCCACATCTCTTTAAGGTTCTACTCTTTCAACATGATCACATTGGGGACCAAGCTTCAGAAAGTGAATTCCTGGTAGAAAAAAAATCATATTTAAATGTCAACAATTCCTTTCTAACACTCTCATCATCTGCATACACCAACTTTCTTCTTTAAAAGCACACTATCTTGTGCTTGCAATTACATTCTGTACCCCTTTTGGTTCATGCTATGATACAACTCCGATCACTCAGCACTCTCCACACACACAGTCAGAATCTCACTTTACCTTCCAAATGCACTCAACTGTCAAGGATGTTACGAACCCTCTCTTAATGTCCTAAGCTCTATTATGATTATGGCCATATGACAGAAGGCAGTTTATGTAACTACAACTATTTGTGTCCATGACTTTACCTTAAAGTAAATAGCTGAGTTTTATCTATCTTAACACAATACCATGCAAACTGCTAACTGTATATTTGGTGTTATAGATGAGTTTTAAGAAAAGTGCTTTTTTGATGGTATACTGTCACAAGTAGTGACAAATGTCTCTGATATCATGGCATAGTACAGGTTGTAAGTATCCTTTATCCAAAATGAAACTGCTTCAGATTTTAAAGTTTTTTCAGATCTGGAATATTTTCACAGATCTGATAGGCTGAGCATTTTCTAAATCCCAAAGCCCGAAATGTCTCCAAATCTAAAATGATCAGATATGATGCTCAAAGATGTTTATATGGATGCATGACCTGTATAAGTGAGACATTACTAAGTCTTATCACATACAAGTCAGCCTGACATTATACATTCTGTATTATTTCCACATGAAAATGGTGATCTGCAATCTATAAAATAAACAAGATCCTGAACTATGACTAGTACACACGGTAGAGAACTTGTAGTGTTCCATGATTTTTAAAATCTTCCCTTCATGACACTTGATTAATCTGGTAAAATCATTATGTTATGATGGATTATTGTCTGCTGCTGTTAAATTTAGATTACTGCTAAATGTGGTCTCCAACCTTGCCATTTCAGTGCTTTACCTCGTGCTAGCAGCAGGTGTACACTGTGAGATTTTTAATGCAGAAATGTTGATCAGAATCACAGAAAGTTTTATTTTTGGTTCTAAATGTCATATTCTTTTGAATCTAGGTTTTTTTTTTTCTGTCAAATAACAGAAGTAGGACTGATTTATCCCTTCTTAAAGGACAGCATCTTAAGAACTCTTGAGAGTTCATGTAAAATGATAAACAAAATAAGCTAGCTGCCTGGAAGTAAATCATCTCTGATTGTATTATGAAATTCAAAAATAGACAAAAGCAACCTATGTCCTTTTAAATAAGAAGAGTGGTTCCAATGTGAAAGTGGAAACTAACTAGCAAGCGCATGAAGAAGTCTTTGAGCAATGATTCCATGTGAGACACACAATAAAAATGTATCAACTTATATATGACAGATTTTTTTATCACAATGTGCATATTCTATGTCAATAAAAACGTTTTTATAGAGAAGCAAGGGAAAGATAATGAAGCCATTTTAACAGCAAGGAAAGAAGAAAACATGAGTAAAAAACACACATCCCTCACAGAATGATTATAGACTTTGCCCTGCTGTTTGTCAATCTCAGAACAACTGAATGTAAGTTACCCACATTTCTACAACATTTCTATTGTTTTGGTAATTAGGTTCTCATAAGTTATACAGCTGAAAAAGATTTCATGGAACACAGAATTAAAAGTTTATTTTGGCCCCATTTTTTTTTAATTCATGCATAGCTTTTCCATAGTATGCATTTTCCATGACTTTGCTGAAGTTCTCTCATATACATGGCTTTCAAACATTTTGGTAACAAAATAATCTTGTCTTTAAATTCCAGTTTGCATGAACTCCTGAAGTATTCTTACATAACTTTACATTGCAATTGTGAAGAAAATTTTGATAAGCATCATGAACATAGGTAATATAAATTAATACATTTCTTTTCTTTTCTTCACTATTCTTTTTTTTTTTTTGTGCAACACCATGGCTGAGTGTCAACAAAAACATTTTTAACCACAGAAGTATAATGTATCAGGACTTCACAAATTTGCTCTATATGAGACACCAATTAAGTAAAACTGATCTATGCTGTTAGAAGGTGATCGAGTGTCCTCCTGAATTTGGGTGGAGGACTGTCAATAGTAACAAAAAACAGAGCAGGAAAACATTTGGGGTAATATATTTCATTATTCTTCATCTGATGCTGATGGTCAGATTTTAAAATTTCCTATGACAGATATTTATGAATATTTTTCTGTGTGTACATAACAGGGAGATAAAACAGGTCAAAAAGGACACAGACAACCCACGTCCAATATCTATATGTATACTCAATAATTACCATACATATTCTATGATTCAAATAATCAACGCTGGCCAAATTAGTAATAGAAGTAACATGGGGCCAGTGACAGACATTCATGGAGAGGTCAAAGGGAATTGAATTTAATCTGTTTAATACAGTTTTTTCCAAGGAGCACACATTACTTGTACAATTTCAACAAAAAGATAGAAATCTGTCTAGATATATGACAAGTGACATTCAAGGCTTGTGATTTAAATCCAGTTAAAATAATTCTGTAGGGCATACTGTACCTGTGAATCTAATATGTTAGAAATTTCTTGTGCTCCAACATTTACTTCATCCAACTGCAGGGAAAATAAATTTCTGGCAATCTGGACAAAATCTAAAATAGAACATATTACAGTAAAGAACATAGCATTTAACCTCATCTAAATAAATCCTACATTTTTCTAAATTAAGTTGGAATGACGCTTTATAACAAATGATTCAAACTGAACTTACATAAATAGTCTGAAAACAGCATTGGCTGAGCTTACAGGTAAATGTAAGTTCCAATAAGAAGATGCAGGAGTAGGTATTTAACAGAAATAATTAAGATGCCCTCATCTCCCATCAGGGTTATACTCTGGCTCAGACTCTACCCAGTGCAGACACTAGGAGGCAGTGGGAATGGCTCCAGTACAGGGCTCTTGCAGCCCACACAGGAGACCAGACTACGCTCCTGGGTACTGGCTGCAGCCCATCTGGAGAGTAAACTAGCACACAGGTGCTCTGTCAGCCTATTTGTCTCAAACAAACAAAAAATAATTTAAAAAACATAAAGTCATCCTAAGTGATTTAAACAAAAAATAATAAACTAGTTTAACTTAACTTCTAAAAATAAGAATAATAATGCAACAAACACATTTTGAAGACATTATTTAATCCTCCAATTCATGTATTACGATGACTTTTTCCCAAACATATGACAATATTATGACATGGCTTTTCAAGCTGGAGGGATCTGAGGTTTAATAATAATAGCAGCAGCTAATGTTTATTTAACAGCCACATTATGCCAGCCACGGTGCTTAACAATTTCATTTTCATGATAATCTTCATTTTTATAGATGATAAGATCTGGGCTAAGATAGGTCAACCATCTTGACACTGCCCAAGACCACCGGGAAATAACTGTCATAGCAATTCATAATTTCTTCAGATCCAGATCTATTCATCTCTGTATGATCATGTACTTTTTTTAATTTCCAAGGGTCATTTTAAGTGTTCTCTGACTTTGTATTTTATATTATGTTGGCCTTATTTTACAAATGTATTACCTTCGCTTATCTTCTTACAAATGTTAATTACAATTCATCTGAAGTTCTCTTCTGTCTCCCATTATTCCTTTGCTATTTTCTTTTTGCATCAATTTTTATCTGTTTGATATTTGGGCGATCTGATTTTATGTTAGTGGATTTTTTTTTCCAAATTCTTAGAGATCTTGGCTACAAGATTATTTAACAATTTTTGGAGGGGTTGGGGGAATCCCAGAGCCTATAAAACTATGTCATAAAATGAAAAAAAAAAAAAAGAATTATGGACTGAAAAATTAGACTGTTGGGGCCAGTGCTGTGGCAGAATGGATAAAGCCACTGCCTACAACACTGGCATTCCATATAGGTACTGGTTTGAGTCTCAGTTGCTCCAGTTCCATTCTAGCTTCCTATAATGTACCTGAAAAGGCAGCAGAGGATGACCCAAATGCTTTGGTCCATGCACCCATATGGGAGGTCTGGAAGGAGTTCCTGCTTTCAGATCACCTCGTTTCCAGACATTGTGGAGTGAACCAATGGATGGCACTCTCTCTTCCTTTTTGCCTTTCTTTCTCTCTGTGTAACTCAGTCTTTCAAATAAATCAATCTTAACTGTAGATATCACTGAACAATCTGGGTGTGTTGCTGAGTAATGACTTCCCATATACTTTCCCAAACTCGCTTGCTGTTGGCATCTATAGGTCCATGATCTCTTTGGTTTCATTTCTCAAAGAAATAAACTTCTTTTTGCCTCAAGGTGTGAAGGAGTGGTAGTTGCTAGACTACTTTGGATTGGGCAGGGAACAACTTGTATAACAATCCTGTTTTAAATGCCTTACCTAAACCCAGTGGGCAGGAACACCAAATTCCTTCAATTCCTAAGGGTCAGATCAGCTCATGCCTGTCTTACTGAGACATCTTTTCAGATCTTGGGCTTCACCTGCCTTGCCTCACTTACTCATTGACTGTTCCTTGTTTGCTTTCAGACCTCAGCTAGGGTAGTTTTCATTAGGCACGGATTTCTGTTTCTCGCTCTCATTATTTATGGTGATTTTCAACAGGTTATGGGAACACAGCTATGCCATTATCATCACTTGAAAACCAAAAGGTGAATTTCCTTTCCTTTCTTTAAAGCAATATAGATGCTTTTAAAGTATTACAATGCAGCATTTCCCACGTGTACCAAACTTAAATACACAGTGGTGCCAGGGGAAAAAGGTTACTGATATAAGAACAAAAAGATGTACAAAATACTTTGGTAAAACAGCTTACAAATGTGTGTCAAGAATCCAAATAATTTATTTACAATATGTATTCTATAAAAAGAAGGAAAACATCAACAAGCACAATGATAATATAGATTTTGCAATGTCTGTTACTGAGAAACCATAAAACTGTCAAAAGTGGAAAGATTTAATTTTACATTATCATGGCTAAGTGGTACATTATACTACTGTTAATAATTATGTACATATGATAAAAATATTAGCTGCTAGAAGAATTCAAATCAATTGAGCGATAACATTAGGATTTTTATATTTTCTATGGTTTCCTTTGTAATTATTAAAGTAATATTTATGAACTAAGCAAAAACAACAATGGAATGATGTTTCAGCAATAAATGAAACTAATAAGGTTATTCCTTATGCTAACCTATCCAGGGCTAGCGATTAAGGAGCCTGAAGTAGATGTAGTTTACTTCTCATTCTCTTTTTTAACAAAAATGGGTCACACAAACTCTTCAACCAAAACAAGATAAGGGTAATGTTACCTCCAAAAGACACCGTCCCTTTTGCATCTGCTTGTACTTGCTGTCTCAGGGCTTGCTGTTGTTCCTTTGTAGGCTGAATGCCAAGATAATTTAGAGCCTGGAAAAGAAAGGTGAATCTTTTTTTCAAATGTCTAAAGAACAAAACTTCTCGTTATAACGTTATTTTACAACCCAGTGGAGGGAAAAAAAAAGTCAACACTGAACACTGACTGGAATTAGATGCCCAAAGAAAATCTGCTGAAAATTCAGGGATTAATTGATCATAAAGGATTAGTTTCCCAGCCCTACTATCGCTTTGTCAGTACAAAGAATGCAAAATTTTATAACCATATCAAAAAAATTTTTTTTAAATAAAAGACTTACTTATTTGAAAGGCAGTGTTGCAGAGATAGAGATGACAATCTTCCATCAGGTGGTTTGCTGCCCAAAAGGTCTCAAAAGCTGGGAGCGATTCCATAGGCCCCTGCATCTGTGGGGTACCTGGAAGCAGCTCCTAGCTTCTTTGTGTCCGTCAGCGTGTGGGCCACTGCAGCCATTTAGGGAGTGAACTAATGAATGGAAGCCCTTTCACCATCTAGTCCTTTCTTTCTATATACTTCTTCTTTACAAATAAATAAATCATTGAAAAATAAAATGCAGATGAAGTTCAATATTGGTTACTGTTCTTTCAAGTTTCTTCTTCCTTTAGACTGCTCAATAGTTCATCATTTAATTGACATGTTTATTTGTCATGCATAACACTAAAACAGGGGTTGGAACGACAAGCTAAAATCTATACTCTCAGAGACCTTATGACCTAAAGGGTGAGAGCAACATATGGATATAGAAAGTGGAATATGTAATTAAAAATAAATGTGTACAGGGTATACCATGGTAAACGACAACTAGTTAATGCACATGTATACAGTTCAAGCAGGCATACTGAAAGAAGGGTATATTGAGAATATCAGCTCCTCAGAAATGATTCATATGCATAGTCTAACATCGCCTTTTTATCATTTCTGTGCCATAAGCATTTGCCTGATGTTACAAGGAATAATGATTCTAGCTTCCATATACAATGCATGTTTTTCCTTGAGTTTCAAAATTTCTCCAAGTACACAAAAACGAATAAAAATTAGAGCAATGCATTCACTACCATCATACACTCAATGATATTTGTCTATTCTGGAAATTTCATATTAATGCAATATTATTTCTGGGTTTTTTTTTTGTACTTAGCTTTTCCCCTTCAGCATAATGGTTTGAGGTTTATCAGATATACTGCAGCATGTATCCAAAAATAAAATAAAACTTCATTGTAAGGATATACTACATATTATTTATTAGTTGCATATTTGACTATTTCTACTTTTGTTACTATAAAGAACAGTTACATTCATCTGAGCAAATATTTTCTTTTAAAGGATTTTTGTGGGGGTATACTTTGAAATCTATTCAGAAGTTTTCTGTAATATTCATTGTTCATAAACTTTCTTTTTAAAAAAAGATTTATTTATTGATTGGAAAGGTAGATTTATAGATAGAAGGAAATACAGAAAGATCTTCTGTCCATTGGTTCACTCCCCAGGTGCCCACAATGAACAGAGCTGAGCTGATCTGAAACCAGGAACCAGAAGTCTGGAGCTTCTTCTGGGTCTCTCATGTGAGTGCATGGTCCCAAGCATGTGGGCCATTCCATCCACAACTGCTTCCCCAGGCCACAAGCAGGAAGCTTGAAGTGAGGTGGAGTAGCCAGGATATGAACCAGCACCCATATGGGATGCCAGCGGATGCAAAGTGAGGACTTAGCCACTAAACCATCGCGCCTAGTCCAAGCCACTGCTTTTGTGCACATAAGTTTTTTTGGACCACACTGCTAGGCCAAGTTAACAGTATGTTTAACTTTTTGAGGAATTGTCACAATATTTTCCAAAGTATGTTTATCACTATACATTCCCACTAGCAGTACATAAAGGCTTCAGTATCTCCATCCTCATCAGCAGTTGCCATTGTCTTTATTGGCTATCTAGTTACTTTCTCTGTAGAAATGCTTACTTGCATAATCTGTATATTTTTTAAAAATTATGTGGTCATTCTATATTTTGAATACAGGTTCTTTACTAGATTCTTAATTTCCATATATTTTCTCCCTAAATAGGTTCTCTTTTCACTTCCTTAATGGTGTCTTTGAAGAATTGTTTTTTACATATGCTGGGAAGTCAGGCTCCAATTTGATTGTGGTGTGTGTATATATACAGTTGTCAGAACACAATTTCCTGAAAAATGTACCTCCTTTCAAATTTGTTGGTTTACCTGTTTACATTCCTACTGAAAATGAACAGGTCACAAATGTGTACAAACACTTCTGCTATCTCAATTTTATCCCATTCACCTATATTTCTGAAAACACCAAATTGTGCTATTGTAGCTTTCTATAATAACTTTTAGGTCAAGATGTAAGATTTTTTTCAAGTTCTTTAAGTTACTTTGAGTCTTCTGCATTTGCATATTAATTTTGGATTAGTATGTCAATTTCTGAAAAAAAATAGGTTACATCTTGATAATTATTGTACTGAATCTGCTTATCAATGTATGGATACCAACATCCCAATAATGAAGTTAAGGGATTCTTTATAAGAAGACATCTTTCCATTTGTTCAAGTCTTGAATTTCATTCAGCAATGTTTTGTCACTTTCAGTGTTTAATTACTGTGTTAAAATCATTCTTAGGGTTTTACTCTCCTAGCTGCCATAAGCATCATCGCTTTAATTTCATTTTAGGTTATTCATTGCTTGTTACAAAAATACAATGCTATAACCTAGCTGAACTTGTTTTTAGTTCTAGTTGTACTTTAGTAGATCCTTGAAAGATTTCAAATATAAGATTGCACCATCTGGGAGTAGGGACTCTTTCAGTCCTGCCCAGTCTGCATGCTGCTTATTTCCTCGTACTTGCTTAGTTACTCTTGCTAGAATCTCCCAGCACAATGTTGAACAGAATTAGTGAAGCATACATCTTAGTCTTGCATCAAGTTGTTAGGGAAATGCAATCAGATTTTCAACATTAAGTATGATTTTAGCAGTGGGGTTTTATAAATACTCTTTGTCAGTTTGAAATTTCCTTCTATAATCAGTTTGTTGAGTATTTTTCTTGTGAAAAGATACTGGATTGTGTCAGTCTGTTTTTCTGTGACCAAAAAGACTATTATGTGTGTTTTTTCCTTTTATTATACTTAGACCATTATGCTAATTTTTTTAGGATTTTATTTATTTTTGTTGGAAGGTCAGATTTACAGAGAGAAAGAGATATACAGAAAGATTTTTCATCTGCTTGTTCACTCTCCAAGTAGCCACAATAGCTGGAGCTGAGTTGATCTGAAGCCAGGAGCCAGAGGCTTCTTCTGGGGCTCAAAGCGCAGGTGCAGGGTCCCAAGGCTATGGAGTCCTCCACTGCTTTCCCAAGCCACAAGCAGGGAGGAATAGAAGTGGGGCCACTGGGTACAAACTGGCACTCACATGGATCTTGGTTTATGCAAGGTGAGGACTTCAGCCATTAGGCTAGTGCTCTGGGCCCCATGCTAATTCTTGCATACGAAATCAACTTTGTATTTCTGGAAAGTCTTGTACTTGGTCACGATCTATAATCCTTTGATATGTTGATGAACTTAGTTCAGTAAGTTTTTGTTGAGCACTTCCACATTCATAACCTTAAAATATGTTGGTCTAGAGGTTTGTTTTTTCCTCTTGATGTATTTGTCTTATTTGAGTGTCAGGATGTTACTGGCCTCTTCGGATGAATGTCAAAGTGCTCCCTTCTCTCATACTTTCCTTTGGAAGAGTTTGTAAAGGATTGGCATTAGCTCTTTTTAAAATGTTTGGTATTTTAAAACGTGAAACCATCTGGGACTTGGATTTTTTTAAAGAAGTTGTTGATTACTAATTCAAACTCCTTACTGGTTATAGGTTTATCCAGCTTTTCAACTTCAATGTCAGTCAGACTTGGTAGTTTGCATCTTTCCAGGAATTCACCCATTTCATCTAGGTTACTTAACTTGATGGTATGCTGACATTCATAGCATTCCATAAATCTTTTTTTTTTTCTGCAGAACTTTTTCTACAGTTTTTTCTCCCCACAAAACATAGAACACGCTAACATAATATTCAGTGATGCGTAGGTTTCTTCTTTATTTTTCTTACCACATTGGATTCTGCCGTATCTGATTATGAAAATCGTGCCACAGTTAATGTATCCACTTCCTTGTTGATAGACACACTGTTTGGTAACATTCACTCCTTTAAATAATAGCGCCAATTTTCTTCTTCTATGTTTCTCAGGCACTATGGCTAAAAAAAGTCTGCACCATCAAGAATGATGCTGGCTTCTAAAGCAAAATGGGAAGAAATACACGTTCTGGTTCGTCAAAGAAATGGGAAATTAAAATTTCATCCCTTACCAACAGAGAGCCTGATATATAATTTCAAAAGCTTCAATGACTACTATACTATTAATATTTCTTTACATAGTATCACTAGAATTTCTCCAGTGTGAATGTCCAGAAGCAGAACTGCTGAGTTAAAGATATGAGCATGAACAGCTTTCCCAAACTGCTCCCTTAAGTGACATTCTCATGAATATCAAATAAAAGTTCCCACTTCTTTCTCTGTATCTTTTGTCAATAATTGTATGGTAGGATCTTAAATATTTGTCTACTTGGTGAATAGACAATTGTGCCTTACTGTTGTTCAGCTTCATTTTCCTCAAGGACAGCTTTTATATATGTAATTACCATTTGGATTTTGACTTTGGGAAACTGCCCATTCATTGTCACTGCCTATCTTTCTTTGGTGTCATTTGTATTTTCCATGGCTGGGCTGGAACATTTCTCTAGCACTTAATTCTCCAGAAAGGGCAGGATGTCCTTCAAGGTTTTCATATTCATCAATGCAAGGATGTCAATTCTGGAATTCCACAGGAAAAGGAAATGAGGCCACGTGAAAACTCAGTCTCAATATCCAAGTCAGCGTTTCCTTGGGTTACATGTCCAACCACTTAAAACATTCAAAATTACATTTTCATCTCATAACATTTTTTCCTCTCTGCTTCCTCTCATTTTTTTTCCATTTCTTTCTTCCCCATAAGCCTGACAATGTGTTTAAAAACTGCTTCTTTTCATTTTATGCATTGCTTCTTCTATATATTCATAGCAAAAGAGGGTCCTAAGTTTCTTCATCACACAATGTTGGAACTAGAAATTATTTTAACTGTTCAAATATTACAAAGATACCCTCTTAAAGTCTATTAAGAGCAGTATACCTGTTCTACAGAGTGTAACCAGACATGCAAGTTCTGGTCTACACTTTCACACTTTCTCAGGTTCGTAAATCCTAAGACCAATTGGCATGGCTGTAAATTGTGCCATTTAATTGTTACTAGAGCAAAAAAAGAAATACTTTCTGGATGTGTTGAAAATTTTTTCTAATTTGTATTTTCCAAAATGAATACAAACACACACATGCACAAACACACACAATCAGATCAAAAACATTTCCTTATTTAAAACGGTCCAATGGCTTTTTACTGAAGTTAGAATAAAATCCGAAGATCCCTTAGCCTATGAAGCACCACACGATTTAATCTACCCACCTGCTGATACTTGTCATTCATACGCTTTTATTTATATATTTATGCATTAATTCATTCATTTATATCACTTAATGCCAAAAATGCCTCTTTTTTTTGAGTTTTCATATTGTTTCTAAATTCTATCCTGTCTTAGGTCTGCTATCTTCATTTCACACACATTTTTCCCTAACACCTTATTCTTTGTTCTTCAGGACTCAGGTTAAAAATCCATGTCCTTTGAGAGGTTTTCCTTGACTACCAACCTAAAGAAACTCACCACTCGGGATTCTGAGCATCGAAATGAAACATCTCAAGTACTTCATAAATTGGAAAACTTTGTTGAGCATGATTGAGTATGGGACATACTGCCCCCAAATACACAGCCTGGCACTGATATTATCCGAGAAAACTCTCCGTTACCTGCCCTTATCCTTGTCTCCTGAAGTAGGACATAAATGCTTTGAAAGACAGGAGTCTTCCATAAACCCACAGGAAAAGAACATCCTTATCTCTGAAGATACAGAGGTACAGATCTTGCTAAGTTCATTCCCGTTTATTACTTAGACGATGCTGCATTTTTCTAATCATACCCTTCAAGATTTACCCAATCTAAATATAAAAATACACATTTTTCTGTTTCTTTGGGTCTTCATTCTGGAAGGGTCCTGTGCCACGTAAAACTTAGAGTAAGCACATGTGTACACTTTCAGTTGCTAATCTTTCTTTGATTAGTTATTTCAGCCATGAATTTAATGAAGAGTGAGTAAATAAAACTTTCCTCCCGTATATACAAAAACCATATGCTTAATGAGTAGTAGGCAATACCAGGTGACTGATGAAGAAGCATACTGTCTCAGTGAGGACAACATACATGAAAGACTGATTTGGGGAAACTAAAGTGATGGGCTACAGATACTCAAAAGAAAGCAATTTTGGAAATAGAACTGAATCAGAATTTCAACAAAGGATGATTCAAACTGGCAATGAGAACATCGTTTTTATAGGACAAAGCAAAGGTAAGGAAAAGGTAATATGTGTAAGGTGTGTTTTATTCTAGCTAAGAATTTTCATACTCTGTAAAACATGAAAAATGTGATATAAAAAGGTGACAGGAAGACAGATATCATGAACCTTTAAAAATGTATCTATTTCACATTTAAAAAAAACATTTTTGGTCACACCCTTGTTAGTCTGATGAATGTTAAAAGTGATTTTTTCAAAGTATTAGTTTCTATTTTTTCAAACATCTTGGTAGTTTAGTTTCTTTTACATAGAGAAGCTATCAGTGTTTTACTGCTCTTGGGACTATTTCTTGTTGCCTTAGCACATGCTACAACCTCTTTAAAAAAGTTTTGTTTTACGTGAAAGCCACAGTTTCAGAGAGAGAGAGAAAGACAGACAGAGAGAGACAGAGAGACAGGGAGAAAGAGATGGATCTTCCATCCACTGGCTCATTTCCCAAATGTCCACAATGGCTAGAGCTGGGAGCCAGAAGAATTTTCTGGGTCTCCCATTTGGGTACAAAAGCTCATGGCCTCGGGCCATCCTCTGCTGTTTTCCTGGGCTACTAGCAGGCAGCTGGATCAGAAGTGGCATACCCCACGACTAAAACCAGTGTCCAAATTGGATGCTTGGTGTCACAAGGCCTGTTACAGCCTTTTTTGAGTGGATAGTTGAGTCTTCCATTATTTAGGATTCAGCTACATTTCAGTTTTTAAATATTGAGTAATCAAGTATTACTTTACCATATTTGCAGATATATATATATGAAACCTAACAAACATGGCCATAATGTGTTCACATTTCATTGATTCTAGTTGTAAAACATTACAAGTTTCTTTTTTTCCCACAGAAAATCTATTAGTCTGAATGTCAACTAGATACAAAAAAAATTTATTTCTATTTTTATGCTAGTGAATCACTATGATACTCAAATGCAAAAAAAAAAATCAAATAATTTAAACTCAAATGCCATTCATTTAACTGCAATAAGTTACTTTAAGAAGCTAAAAGCTCTAATACTTTATTCTCTTACAGAATGAGAGTATTTCCTTTCTACTGTTGTTTTACAAAGAAAACTGAAATGTGAAGGATTTACCATTTCCAGTTTCTCAGCCTTCATTCGAACAGAGGGATTTAGGCCAATCTTCTTTCCCCGTGGTCCATAATTATCAGTCAGGGCAGGAATAGCATCTAAGAGACAACAGAGCACACATTAATTGGAATCTTAATTGGGATAGAACTTTTCATTTGACAGGATGTATTCTGGGCTCCTGCTGTTCAAAAACAATTCTGGCTAATAAGTTGGCAGTTTTCACCTTTGTTTTCATGATTTTTTTTCTTTAAAATATATCATATAATTCAGCTTTACTTGAGTCTTAAAGGACATAATATAAAAAGATTGGCCAATTATGCCCTGTTGAGTCTCATGGAAACAAGAACCTAAAAAACAAACATACATCCCACTACTACAGTCTTCATTTCAATACCTTACTAATTGCAACACAGAGTTCTTCTGTTCCAAAAAGCGAAAAATCATAGGTTGAAAAAGACCATGACAATACTATGACTTGTAAAAGAAATTATGTTATGTCGATTTTGGAAATACTCTGGAAAAAGTCATAAAAATGCAAAGCATTCCAAGTTTACATGAAAGGAATGGTTCAGACGCAGAACTTTTTGAGCTAAAAACTTCATGTTTTATTTGACAGAAGGGTTATATGTGAAATAGCTTAAGTAGACTTTAAAGAGTAGAGGGTCTTGTACTTGTAACCCATTGTCCTGTAACTTTACATAATCATTTGTCTTGCTGTATAAAAAAAAAATAACATGGCACAGGAAACAGAACATGATACTTGTCTTAATATGTCAAAGTTTATAAAGCAAATTCCTATAATTCATGTACATCCTTACTAACTAAATTGTCACCCTTCTAAGTAGACTTCTAAGTGGTATTTTACTAGTTCTACATAGAAACAAGAGGAAGAGAAAAAACTTTTTAAAATGTCACATCTTTATGCAGTGTTTTAATTTTTTTTAATTTCTCAGAGCATCTGTCTCTAAGTACAAAATGATTTGCATTCTCTTTCTTAAGAACATAAGAAGTGCATATGAAAATAAATAGTCTTCCTCTAAAACTTTAACACATCCTTAACATTCCATGTAAAATCTTTAATATAGCTTATAGGTGTCAAGATTACAAAAAAAAAAATTGTTACTGACTTTTAGCTCCAAAATAAATTAAACCTTGAAAAAGACTGATTTTAGCATAATGGAATTTTTAAAAATCTGATAAAAGTAATTTAGAAATCTCTTTATCATGATAATTGTGGGCCAAGATATAAAAATATTAGGTAGGGCTCATATGAAATATGTGAATGCATACACATATATTTCTCTTAAGAAAAATACAATCACAAGACTTCAGGATGGTATAAGTGATGAGAATAGAGTAGAATGACGTGGAAGATCGAACAACAAACACATTAACTTTTCTTGTCATTTTTAGGTTTGGATTTGTATAGCCTGACACTGACATCCAGACAAGATACACTAAGTGGAAGCATGATAATTTATAATCTCGGGCCAAGATTAACACTGGGTCTGAACTACTAAATGTGTAAAGTGTTGCAGAGGGGATGATAGCAAGCAGAAGAGAAAGGTAGAGAAAGAGACAGGGACACACCAAAATCCATCCACATTGAAGTATGCACTTCAATTTTTCTACGTCTGCCCGTGATGATCTGCTACATCCAACAGGAAATAATGGAAGCGGAGGCCCTATTTATGCTAAATCTAGCCAGACAGTAATTACGTATGTCAGCTCATTAATCTTCACAAAAACTAAAGTGATACAGGCATTCCTCCCACCCAAAAGACAAAGGCTGAGAAAGGTAATTAGTCCAAGTCACACATCTACTATGTGACAATATTAGACTGTAGTTCATTTGTGAATCCAGAAATTAACCTTCCATGTCAATATCTCTCATCACCAGTTTCTTCTCTTGTAGGAGTTTTTACAGTAAAAACCAAGAAAATGACAGAAAACTACTATGCCAATTATGAAGTATCGTTCATAGTTTCAATACTGAAATATTTAATGTAAAAGTCTACTATCTCTATTTAACACTGTGCAGATATGGCTTACCAAAACATTGTTTTCTTTCAGGCCACTCTTGTCTAAACCTTTGCTTTTGAATTAAAACCTTAAGAGGTTCTGTACAGGAATCCAGCATGCTCTGAAAACTCAGAGCTATTTGACCTGAAACGCCCCTTATGGACAATTTCCTGAATTTGTCCATGGGATCTTTCCATTTCAACTCCAACCTCCCACTGAGTCCTGTCTGGAGAGACTTATCAAAGCGCAGCATATTACTTGGATCTTCTATATTCATTCCTTTTTTTAGGAGAAGAAAGGGAATGTTTTGTAAGAGCAGCATGAATTACATTGGATTAATTGTGTGAATCCTTTGTTAGACATCTTTTCCCATAGGTTTTAGATTTCAGATTCAACAGACCTAATATAAAGAAATTTAGGTCTCTGATATTTTAAGTAATGGATATTATTTCTTCATACAACATTTCGTTATTAAACACCTCAGGGTTTTGAAACAAACACATGATAGAATAATCTTAAAAGTTATCTGAAAGCATTATGCAGATTTTAAAAAACCTAACCAATACTATACTTTGGAATAATTCTGAGAAGAGAACAGAGGTAGGGCTATCCAGTTTATTTTGTTGAGGTTAACACTAAAACTCATTTTTTTTTAAAAAAATGAGTACCAACTGACTGATGGAGTCTTATAGTAATAATCTAATGGGAGCACTCTATAACAAAATCCTTAAGACAAACAACTCACAATGATACATAGAGGTAATTTACAGCTGACTTGACTTTCGTTCAACCACCTGAGAAATAACTCATTTACTATATTTATGTAGAATAAGATGGAACTGAGTCAATACTATTTTTAACTGAGAAACTGTTAGACTTTAATTGCATTTAATGCTTTAAATATAACCTTCTCACTTAGATTTATTTTTCATTAACTATTTTTCCATTGTAAAATCTAATACCAGGCTGATGCTGTGGCCTACTAGCTAAAGTCCTTGCACACACCAGCATCCCATATGGGCACCAGTTCTGTTCCCAACAGCCGAACTTCCCGTCCAGCTTCCTGCTTGTTGGCCTGGGGAAGCAGTGAGGAAGACCAAAAGCCTTGGGAACCTGCACCTGCGTGGGAGACCTGTAAGAGGCTCCTGGATTCAGATTGGCTCACTCCAGTCATTATGGCTGCTTGGGGAGTGAAATCAATGGATGGAAGGAAGATCTTCCTCTCTGTAAATCTGACTTTCCAATAAAAATGAAAATAAACCTTAGAAAAAATGAATACCATTTTTTATGGTAACTGGTATAAATTTGTCTTGTTTATTATCACAGGATCTTTTCATCAGATTTGCTTCTTAGAATCACCTGACATCCAGCTTGTATTAATTCTATTTTTTAGGAGTTATTTTTATTTGAAAGGCAGAGTTAGAGAGAGCAGAGACAGAGAGAGATCTTCCTTCTGCTGTTTCACTCCTTAAATAGCTGTATCAGCCAGGGCTGTGCTGATTAAAAGGAGTCATGAACTTCTTGGTCTCCCACATGGGTGCAGGGGCCCAAGGCCTTGAGCCATCCTCTGCTGCCCTCCCAGGCCATAAGTGGGAAGTTGGGTTCAAAGTGAAAAGGCTGGGACATGGGCTGGTACTCTAGATAGAAGCTCAACCTATATGGCATAGTGCCCCACCCCCTTGTTTCTATTCTTTTGCTCATGATGCTTCCTTAACTTGGATCATCTCCTGTCTTCATCCATCATTAATGTTTACCTCTCCTTCAAGTTCCACAATATGTCAGAAAGTCATCATGAATTTTTTTCACTAATATTTTTACTTGAAAGAGTTATAGAAGTAGTGGTAGATACTGAAGAGGAAGTTTGTCCATCACTTGCTTCACTCCCCAAATGGCTGAAATGCCCAAAGCAGAGCCAGTCTGAAGCTGGGAGCCCAAGGTTTCCACTGGTTTCCAACACAGGTGCAAAGGCCCAACACTCTGAGCCATCCTTTGTTGTCTTCCAAGCTTTCAGTGGGCAGCTGGATTGGAGGATTAGCCTGTTATGCCACTGTGGTGGTTTAATGTGAAATTTTTCTTCAATGATTACTTCACATAAGTGACAAACTCCTTACAATGCACTAGTTTTGCAGAAGGGCACAAAACTAAACCAATGCTTGAAAGATCTAATTTCTGCCCTAAAACATGTCCTGGAATATTACCTGAGCTGTAATTAGGTTCTGAAATATTAATAGTAACAGTGAAATATTTTGAGCACATACCATGCACCGATTTTGGGGCTGGATGCTTAGCACACATGATCTCATTTAAGCATCATAAGCTAGGAACAAGAGTTTCAACGTTTACGTTTTCACTTAGAGCTTTGTGAGAACCACTGTGTCTTACCCACCCTACACCACTTTATTCCTGTCTTCCTGTGTAGCTGTTATTCACTCATAAACAGGATGTTTATTAGAGTCCTAAATCTTCTTCCAGTTTACACAAAACACTGTATCTAGTTACTCGATAAAACACATGTACACACACACAGAAACAAAATACATATATATTTAACTGATTTTTAACTTGAATATTGAAGATTTTTAGTATCTTGCTTTTTTGACAATGCACTCTTTAAGTCTCTCATTAAAAATTTTTTCTAATCTCTCCTATATTTTCTATACACGTAATACATTCAGCAAATGCTTACTGAACAAAAATATGACTAAAAGAGATAGTGAGTAGTTTAATTACTTTAGAAATTCAAGCATATTAAAAACAGTACATAAATAGCCTTTTTATATAATCAAGGAATAAAAGACCTTGATTTCCAAAATCTAACTTTGTACCCACAGTTTTTCATGATTAACAGCTTCATTTATTTCTTTTCGTTCTCACATGAAATTCCAGTTTAAAAAAAGAGTATATTAAGAGATAGAAATTAATATCAGTTTCTAAATTAGTAATTTCTAAATAAATCTCAACAAATAAGAAGGAATTTTGAGTTGAAGATTGCTACAAAACCATTGATAAATGCTGCCTCCAATCAGAGGGAATTACTAGGAAATTTACTACAAATTTCTGTAAAACGTGTAACTATTTGACTTAAACTAAATCCTCTTTTCTTGGCAATTATAATTCTATCACAAATTAAAATATGGGTAGAAATTGGCATTGTAATTTAGTCATGTAAACTGGCTTTTCAATTAATATTAACTGTAGGTTTTTAATGCTGCTGTGTATAACTTTTGGAGAGAATTTTAGGGGAGGGTTTTTTTTCTTGACATTTGAGCTAATAAGTACAACTTAATTTTTAAAAATCTTTAGGTAATTAACATTTTGCTATTAAAAAACAGTGTATCACTTCATGGGAACCAACAATAGTGAATTAACAATACCCATCAGAAATTAATACATAAGACGATTTCTTCCAAACAAGACAGAATTCTTAAACTATTTTCCTTTTCTTAATAGGTTTGTTGAAAAGTACATTTAATACTCTTCACCAGTATTTCACTAAAAGGACAAGGCACCCTAATCTTGATTTTTATTAGAATTTTTGTATTTATTTCAACAACTAATTAATTGTTATGGCTTTATAGACATCACAGTGTACTTCGAAAAATTTCAACCTTTTGTTCATGGAAATTTCCAATAAAAGCCATAATTTAACAGGAACCACTGGACAAATACACTCATTTTGCTTTTTCAGTCACTGAAGAAAAAGGCACTCTGCACCCTTCTTTAAAGTCTATTAAAGTCACATTATGTACTCTTCATTGAGAGAAAATAACTGAAAAAACAGGAAAGAGGAATTAAATGTGCATTTACCTGAATTAGATATATCTGCACAGTTGTTCGAGGCAGTAATCGAAGTATATTCTGGTTTCCTGCATCCAGTTTTTGTCTGTGAAAGAAAATGAGGAACACGCAATGTCATTTTGTAAAGTAGGTCAAAGACCTTGCTAAAGCTCATGTTAACATAAAAACAATGGTTAAAAGACTAAAGCAATATTCAAAAAAAAAATGAAGCCACTAAAATTTTGGTATTCAAAGCGTTTCAGAATCATTGCTTACAACTGTTTTCAGCTTCACCATGTCCAAGGAGAGCAAAATGTAAGGACACACATCTTGTCTTTTAAAAGGCACTTCAACTTCAAATGACAAAGTGCAAGTCCTAACAGAAAAACTTTAATACTCTGAGCACATAAACCCCAAACCTAAGCTACCTTTGTGGAATTTTATTTCATGGACTTAAACGCCTGCCTGATCTTGACAAGTGGATGCTGGACTCTCTGCCATTGTCCATGCCTGCAATGAAGGACTTATGACTATTTATGAGGAACTATGCTGTTGCAATGATTTGGGAGAACTTGGTACAGGGGGATTAAGGGAGAGGGTCAGGGATATCCAAGGGTCTATGGAACTGTATCATAAAATGATGATAACAATAATAATAAAAGGGAAAAAAGCCTAGCTGAGTTTTCTCATTTTATTTACAGCTAACATGGATGAAAAGAATATAGGTGCTTTGTTGTTACATGTTTATGCTTCAAAACCTTTCATATATTTCTGGTAATATTGACCTTGTCATCATGACCTGACCCTCTTCAACCCTGGCAATATTTCCTGGGCCCATTCTCTGTGACATGCACATATTCACTTCATTTCTTTTACAAGTTACTATTTGAACGGATTTTGAAAATTCTTCTACATTCAGTCTATCTGTGTCGTTGAATCTTAAGTGTTCCTGGTTGGATTTGCTGTTGATTACTTCTTGTAACAAAAACTGACATATCTGAGAGGAAAAGTAGAGAGTTTAAACATCTAGATACCGTAAGTTTTTCCTTCAGAAGTGGATAAAAGAACCTGACAAAAAAATCACCAATGGCATGGGATACTTAAACAATAATGTCAATTAGCTTCTAATACTAATACGAAGCTTCTCCAAAAGAAGACCTACTTCTTATTCTAGACCATAAGGACATTCAACAGATTAAATAATAATAACCAGTTAGAAGAAACTTTCTGATCACGATGGAATTAAATTCCAGAAATGTAAGAAATGGAAAATATTCCCCAAATATTTGAAAATTAAACACACACACACATATATGTTCAAAAAATGTATCAGAAATAAGAGGTATCATACCACAGATTAAGTTGTTGCCTGGAACACCTCTTTCCTATATCACTCTGCTGATTCAAGTTCCCATCATTCTGCTTCCTACCCAGCTTTCTGCTCATGCATCCCGAGAGGCAGCACAAGACGGCTCAAGTGCTTGGCTTCCTGTCATTCATGCGGATGCTCTGGATGGACCTCTGGGTTCCTGTTGTGGTCTAACCCTGACTGCTGTGGTCATTTAAGAAGCAAACTAGCAGATCAAAGTTTTTGCTATCTCTCTCCTCTCCCTCTGTCTCCTTCCTCTTCTTCCATCACTTTGATTTTCATGTGGGAGAAAATAAATATTTTAAAAATATAGCACAGAAAAAGCAGAGAAATGAGAAAAATATCCAGAGAAGAATAAGAAGAGTATACTTCAGTTAATTCTTAAGTATATACTTCAGTTAATTCTTAAAATATTAATTAGTTACATTCAAAACACAGACTCAAAGAAAGAGAGGAAGAAGGGGGGAGACAGAGGGTGGGGAGAGAGAAAAGTTATCTACCATCTATTGTCTCACTTCCCAAATGGCTGCGAAGATAAGGTCTGGGCCAAGTCGGAGCTAGGGGACAGAGCTCCCTCGGGTTGCTCACCTGGGCGGCAGGGGCCCAAGTACCTGGGTCATGACCTGTTGCTTCCTGAGTGCATTAGCAGGGAACTGGGTCAGAAGCAGAGCAACTCCAACTGATACTCTGTTGAATAGTAGCATTTTCAAGTGAGTTTAATTCATGGCACCACAATGTTTGCCCCATATGCTCTACTCTATTATGTACTGATTTATATAGTTAAAATGATTATATTAAATTTGATACAGAAATTTATTATGTGATAATATTGTAATAGCATGAATTATACTCTAATGTGAGTTATCAATATCCACCTAGACAAGATAACGGGAATTGATCTGTGTAGGAAAGCCCAGAGCAACAATGATTGACTAGCTTCAGTTAAACATAAGAAAGAAAAGATCACAAACTAAGTATATTAGGCACTGAAACTAAGTATGATAGTTCTAACGTAATTGAGTGATATTTTTGCAGTATCATTTTGTCATGCTGATATTTTCTAACTTATCGTGCTTCTGGAAACAGGATCCATTGCTTCAGAAAATTACAGACAATCCAGCATAAAAACTTAAAACAAAAGAAAATAATTCAATGAAATTTAATTTTTTTTAATACACAGTAAACCAAAAATTATTCCCTTTATTCTTAACAAAAGGGATTCTTACACTGTGTATATCAACCTAAATCTAAAATTACCTGATCGATCTTGAAAGAAGGTAAAATGGAATCCTGAGCTTTGGGGGTGGACGAGGTCCTTGGAATTAGCACTTGGGTGGGAGAAGACAGAAGGCTGAATGCTGAGGCCTGAGGCCCATTTTCTCCTGAAGCAGGCAGAAAGGACGCGTAGGACAGGGTTTCTGAATGACCGCTGGAATGCTTCTGTCTTATGAACGCTATCTCACAAACAGATTCAGACCTAGGATTAAAGAGAGATCACTTCATGGATATGCCCTGGAATGAGCAAAATTGAGCTCTAAGACAATGGAACACATCTTACTAAAAATATATGTCACTAATGATCAGAAATACTCATAACACCTTAATCACAAATTTTAAAAGGTGTGTTAAGTGACTCATTCTGTTTTATAGCTTGAATAGTTACCTCAATTTGGTTCTAGTAATTATGCTTTTTGCTTCTTCAAATGACACACCAATCATAGATTCCTTGTTTACTGAAACAAGTTGGTCTCCTGGTTTCAAACGTCCATCCTAATAAAAAGAGAAACATTTATAAGGAAATAAAATTTTAAAATCAGTTATTGAAGTAAAGCATTGCAAATTTTTTGAATAATGTCTTAAAAAACAGTAAGTAGAAATATCTTGGAAAACTTCAACAGTAACACATTTCTTTTAAAATTATTATTATTTTCCATGACACAATTTTGTAAGTATTAGGATTCTTCCCTTCTCTTTTGTCCCTCCCCATTTCCCCCATCCCAGCCATTTTCCTACATATTTTCACAGAAGTATATATAATACTTTAGTAACTTCTGATTGGGACTGGCATAATTATAGGGTAAAAGCTGCTACATGCAATGCTAGCATCCCATACAGGTGCCGGTTTGAGTTCTAGCTGCTTATGATCCAGCTGCCTGGGAAAACACCGGAAGTGGCTCAAGTACTTGGAGCCCTGCAACCATGTGGGAGATGTGGAAGAAGCTCCTGGTTTTGGTCTATTCCAGGGCAAGCCAAGGCAGCCATCTGGGGAGTACCAGAGAATGGAAGATGTCCATCTCTCCCTCTCTTTCTAACTGCCTTTCAAGTAAACAGATTAAATCTTAAAAAAAAAGGATTAAAGCCTGGTTTGGTAATAGACATGAGAGAAACTGCACATTTTGTATTTCATCAGGACATTTGCTTATTAAGGAATTCTTAACGTGTGAGGACATAGACCTGTGCTCAGCACTATGACAAATCTCTGACTTGTTGGTGGAGTAAGCCAAATACTAACAGACTTTTCCGAACATAAGAGGCATTCATTTTACCTTCTGGGTATCCATCCATTTTCCTTCTTACCAAGGAAGTAAATTAATTATATATTTACATTTTAAAAACTGTGGTCAAGGATCTCAATTATGTAACACTCAGCCAAATTTCAGCACATGAACAAACATTGGTGCTATATATGCTGCCATTCCTTTTCTTAGGGCCTAATTGCCCATGCATAGAGTGTTAACTGTGTTCTGTTAGTAAGGACCAATTGTAGCTGGGTGCTTGGACTGCCTTTGCCAATTTCCAGCTCTGCTCAGAGCCAGGCTAAATGAGTAAGTGAGCATATCCATTACAAAATTTAATGTGGTTGTCAGCAAAGTTTCTCAGGCCTCATTTATCTTTTAATTCAAATTGGAAATGAAGAAGAAATTTGCTTCTTTATCAATTCTTAAGATCCTTCTCTATCATTAGTACAAAGGCAGAAAGCATTCTATTTCTACAGAAAAAAAAACTTATTTGGTTAAAAATGTATCTTCATCTTGATGCACTGATGTAACTTCCACAAAACCAAAAGGAGCATTTTTCCTTAAATTCTTATCTGCTTAAATAGAACCTTTGGATAACTGTCCTCTACTTTGAACTGAATTATTTGTGACTATGGCAATTTACTCCGAAATAAATTGTTATTTTCTTTAAACAATGCAGATAATATTGTCTCTTCCATTGACTAATGAATTTACTGAGAAACTAAACAAATATAAAACATTCATAAATATTCATCAGAAAATATCCAAGGAACAGTCACAAATATTGCATAAAATATGTTGTAGTTTACATGCATAACAACCTATCCTCTTTTTGGAACAGAAGTATTATAAAAGGTATTTTTAATAAGAATTATAAAAATAACACTACTACTATTTTGATGAAACTGTAAAATCTCTGAATATCCAAAGCAATTTTGAACAAAAAAGAGAAATGAGACAGCTTTGCACTGACTAAAATACACCACAATTTATAGTAAGTAAAACAATGTAAAAAAAGAAAAATATACAAGTTATAGTAATTTTTAAAATCCAGATTCCCACTGCAATGGAACAGTATAGAGACCCTAGAAGTAAACTTACTCATTAATCTACAGTCAACTGATATGGACAAAGGTACCAGACCACACATTGTAAAAAGGATAGGGATAGTCTTCTCAATCCATGATACTGGAAACATGGATATACACCTGCAGAAGAATGGGACCTAACTCCCATCTCTCACAAAGAAAAAAATCAACTCCAAATGTATTGCCTAAATACAAGACCCACAACTGTCAAACTACTATCAGAAAACACAGAAGATCCTTTTCATAATAATAGAATAAGCGAGCATTTTTTTGGATCAGATTCACAAGTACAAAAAATAAAACAACCGTAGATAAGTGGGATTTTATCAAACTAAAGAAAAATCAAAATGGCAAAGGAAAAATCAACAGAATTAAAAGACAACTTAAAGATGGGAGAGCATATTTGTAAGCTACATATCTGTCATAGAGTTAGTATCTAGAATATCTGAGAACACAAATAACTCTACAATTAAAAAAATCAATTAAAAATGGGCAGATCTACAGACCATTTTTCAAAAGAATACATGCAAATTGACATGCACATGAAAAAATATACAATATTTTATCAGAGAAAGATAAACCAAAATGAGCTATCACCTCACTCCTGCTATTTTAATAGAGGTTTCTCCAAAAGCAAAAAATAGAACTGCAATATCATCAACAATACCATTTGGTACATATCTAAAGGAAACAAAATTAATCTGTTAGACACTTTACCCCTATGCTTACTTCTGAACAGCCAGGAAATGGGAACAAGTGACCATCCACTGATGAATGGATTTTTAAAAAAATATGTGGTGCACATTACACAACAGAATAACATTCAGCTGTAAAATGGTGAAGTTCGGTCCCTTGCAACAATGTGGATAGAACAGGAGATCACTTTGGTAAATAAAATAAGCCAAATACAGAAAGAAAAGTGTCACACGAGATTACTCTAACATGTAGCCTAAAATACAAAAGGTGATCTCAAAAGTAGAATTATTGTGATTATCAAAGGCTCAAGAAGGTAGACAGGTATGGAGTAGATACGGTAAGGTTAATTAATGCGTAGTAACTGACAGCTATACGAGAGCAAGAAATTCTAGAGATCTATAGCACAATACGGTGTTTGTATTACTTTATAACATATATTTCCTCTATTTTAAAAACCCAGAAGACAGAACTATCAGAAAGGAATATTAAATATTTGAGAAGATAGATATTTTTAACCTGATTTGACATTGTACAATGTAGATATGTGCCATTTTTTATACTTATCAAAAAAATTTTTTTTTAAGATTTACTTATTTATTTGAAAAAGAGAGAGAGAGAGATCTCTTCCATCTCCTGGTTCACTCCCCAAATGGCCACAAGGGCTGGAGCTTGGCTGGTATGAAACCAGGACCCAGGAACTTCTTCTGGGCCTCTCTTGTGGATGCAGGAATCAAGTAGCTGCAGTCGTTGGTGATTTATTTCTTAGACCTGATATATGCGTGTGGATAACTACACAATAGAGAAAGTATCTTCCAAATAGATGTTTGTTATATGTTCAACTAATCAAAGGGGTTAATTTTGTAAGATTTCATAAACACTGTTTTGTTTGTTCACATCTTCTTAGAGTTATATTACAGATACATTTAAATGACCTACATCAAGATTTTACTGAAACATTTGTATATGCCAACTTGTACTGTAACTTGCTAACTTTTTTAAAGTTTCAAGTCCCTGCTGCTCCATTTCTGATCCGCCTTCTGTTAACGCACCTTGGTCATGGCACTCACGTGGAGTTTCTGGTTCCAGTTCAAGCACAGGCTGTTTCCTGCCATTTACAGAATGAACCAAGACATGAAAGATCTCTACGTGTCTCTCATTCTCTTTTGCTATTGCTCTTTCAAACAAACATATAAACAAACAAATCTTACCAAAAAAAAAAAAACAAAAAAAAAACCCCAACTCAGTTCCTTCTATTACATTTCCTTAAGAAAAAATCCTGCAATAACTAACACTCACTGTCCTCCATTAGCGCAGGTATCTTTTGAAGCATAAAGAGCGTGGGGTTTTGTAATTACATAGAATTGGATTTGAATTTAAGCTGTACAAATTACTAGCTAGCTCTTAACAAACAATGGTAAAGAGAGAAGAGGCTTGTGGAGTACCCAATCTTGCCTACCACATATTCATAACTAAATTCTGAATAATCTGAAGGTAGCACTTGAGCCAATGAATCATATAGAAACCACAGTTAGTTGCAAGGCTTGTAGAAGAAAAGGCTCAGAAAATGGAGACAGGCAATAGAGTTTTAGATTGATCTGTTAGTTCCCATACGTCCTCCTTAAAACTACACAGTGCTATTGGTACAGAGGAAAAGCTCTCATGAAGGCCATGAAACATCCTGAGTAAAAGCACTCTGATGTGAAGTAGAATCTTCTAGTAGGATGCGCGTCAGAGAAGTATGTGTTCTGACCGATTTCTAGTATTTACATATTTTCTCCTTTCTAAAAAGTATTCACAACAGTGAGGGTTTGATCGTTTTTGTTTTTTTTCCCTCTCTCTCTCGTCTGTTAGAATAAGATTGTAGCTGATTATGTGAATTTCTGAACCTGTTGTTAATAGAAACTGCAAGTGCAAACAAAGCTATTTCTGTAAAAATCTGGCATTTCAAAACAAATGAATTCTGCCCCAGCTGGATTAACACATGAAAGACACCAACTGGGTATGTGCTGAGACCTCTTCCACACAGTCCTGTGTTCCAACTCAGCACTTACTGAGCAGCTACGTGTCACAGCAGGTAACGTGCCAAGCACCTTCATATGCTGGACTTTAGAGATGGAATTTTTTCATATTTGACATTCATGCAAATCTTTTAATCATGTATTCCTGACCACGCACTTAGTTCAGAAACTATCAGCATTGTTCATTTCTGATTATGACTCTGTTCTTTAAGTAACATTAGAAACCATTTTAATAGCCCAATTCCGATGTAACTAACTCAATCCTTCTGAAATGAATGTTCCTTCTTGTAATCCTCTTGATTCTTATCTCATACTTGCACAAGTTATGGACTAAAGGTACCCCTCTTTTAACTCCAGTTATTTGAACTAGGGCAATTTTTTTGACCTTTATGAGATTCGCTTTTTTAGCTGCTGAGTGGGGATAAAAATCTGTAAAACAAGATTGCCATAAAATCACAGAACATATGTAAGTCAGTATATTGGAGATGGTAAATAATGTCAGCTGAATCTGACTTTGCAAGGGCACAATCTCACTCGATAGCAACTTTAATTATGTATACTGTCCTTTAAATTGAGAACCTTTGATGGGTGCCTGGTTGTAGGAAAAATTCAAACTTCCCAAACCAACCATCATCTCTCAAGCCCTCACAATTTCCTCAACATGTAACAATTCCTACCTAGAAAGTCACCACTATCAACCTTCCCATTTCTTTGCCTGATGAACTTTCAAACCTTACAGTCAAATTCACACATTATTTCTGTAGCAAGGTTTTTCCAAATCTCCGGGGTTTCTGTAATTGTTCCATTCTATGGCTTCTTAGCCACATCATTGCACTTCTTTTCACTCTCCTATTTGTTTACACATCCTTTTCCCATATCCACAGATTAGAGCCTATTCATTCAGCAACTTACCAATTAGTAAAAGTGACTATGTAAGTTGGCCAGAACCATGTCCTTTCCAAGGCTGTTTCCCCAGAGCAGTTCAGGCACACAATAAGTTCACAATAATTAATGAGACTCAGGACACTACCTGAGAAAAACTAAGGTGGTTTTGACAGAAATCATAAAAGCAAATGCATAAAGAGTAATGACGCAAGGTGAACCATCCTGGCTGTTGCTCCTTCAACCCTCACTAGTGGAACTGGTTTCTTGATACCTTGCCATCCAGATATTTGGACCTGCTATTTATCCAAAAGCCTGGGTTCCAGTTCCAGAGATATACTCAGCATTTTCCAAAAATACTTTTTCCAAGAGAAAAACATGACCTACTTTAATCCTTTGTCAACAGTGACTAAGGCAGCACCATTATCTCTTTGACTTTCATCTTTACCTACTGGGCTCAAGGAAAGAAAAATCCTGACTTTATCAGAGTTAAGATACTACAAATGGCAAGAGTAACCCTTACTGTATGGAACAAGAGCAAAAAAGAAATGCTGCTAATTACACTAAGACACTGTGAGATTCATCTGGATTTCGAAGGATCAAAGGAAAAATGCAGACATAACACACATACACGGGAAAGTACATAAATTTACACATGCCATATATATGTATACATATAGCTTATATTGCGTGTGTGGCAATATGTGTGTCTGAATTAATTAAATGTGAACTTTATATATGCTAATTGATGAGAAGACATCAATTACAACTGTTCTCCTTGTTAACAGTAACAAAAGAAAGAAATGGGCAAAAACAGTTGAAAACTTCCAAGTATTGTGTAGCATCTGCTGCAAAGAATCAAGCAGGAGACGTACGTGGGTGTGGTGTCCAGCAGAGGACTGCAGCCTGGTTGAACAGCAGCGGATCACTAGGCACAGGGAATATGATCAAATGACTAGGGACCATTCATTCCTTAATTCACCTACATTAATTGAGCTGTTAGTATGTGTCACAAACTACACTTGGGACTAAAGACAATGTGACTAAAATAAGAATCCTTGTCCTTAAGAAACATACTGTTTTATGATGCAGGTACAGTTGATACAATATAGACATTGATATATCATTACAAATGGAGATAAATGGTAAAAAAAAAAAAAAAAAAAGAAAAGGAAAAAGATATAGGAGCACATACAGGAAAAATAAAACCTGGGCCTGATCAGAGGATGACAGGGAACACATACCAAAAAAGTAACCTTTGAACTCAGGTCTGGAAATAATGGGGGAAAGCAGGAGTGTGATGGAACAGCATACGAGAGAAGAAAGAAACTTGCAAATCTCAGGAGCTGAGAAAATGTACTTCTGCAGGAATCAGGATAAAAATCCAGAGAAGAAGAGGGCAAAAGTCACACCAGCTGACTTTGTCAGCAACCAAAGATGAGTAAGGTAGGTTAGGAAACAGTGACAGCGGTGTAAGGGCAGATGCAGCTAGGACAGTCCTGATACAAACCGACACAAGTTGAAGCTGTGGCGACCAGAGGGGAGATTGAGAAGACTCATTGCTTCCGGAGACAGAGTCAAAAAGTCACAATGTATGCTGATGAACTGGATGTTATGGAAGAGGAAGTAGGAAGCTGCTAGCATTTCTGACTGTACAAACGGAAGGAGTCATTTATAGCTGGAAGAGGAGCTGTTTAGGAAAAGAGCAGATGAGATTTTAAGATGAATATTATAGATCCTGAGTCAGAAATGCTGAATTTCAAATGTCTTTGAGACTCAAGTAGAAACACTGAAATCAGATATGTGGTTATGAGTGTCTAGTTCACAAAAAAGTTTAAGATTAAATGTTAAACTCTAGACAGGGTGAGAAGGACTCCAGAGTTGTCCTATTTTCTTAACTCAGTAATGGTTATAGTTCTTCTTAGTCTATAGGCTGCTTCTAGTTCTTCAACTGGGAAAAAAAAAAAACCCTTCTGACCTGAAAGGGAAAATTGTATTCATACTATCTCCAATTTGAACTCACTGTGGTTTTCAAAGAAACATAATATTTTGGTTGTATTGAAACAGTTTTAAATTCTCATATTTGTCAGGAGGAAAATATTGGAAGGATGGCAGGTGGTATAGTACTTAAAAATAATAAATGAAAGAAAAATCTGAATTCAAAAAAACTTTTTGAATATTGGAAGTTTAGGAATAAAAATGAGACATAATCAAGGTATAAGTTTAAAATTTCTATACTATTACTTTGGAAACATTATAATGTTACAGCAAAATTACCTCAAGTGAAAAAACTCACATGCACTTAAAACTGAGCAACTTTAGTAGTTGCTCAGATCAGCAATTTCATGCTCTCCATGAATTTATATTTCCTGCACCATAAATACAGCTTAAACACAAAACCACTCAAAAACTGTAAGCAGATTAGAAACTAACATGCCTAAAACAGTTTGTACAGCATCAATAAAATTTTACAGTTGTGTTTTATTTGCATATTAAATACTCATGTAAATCTCCATCCTGAGCAAATATAAGAAGTAAGTGTAAGTACTGTCAAATTACTTATTCTTCTACACCTTTCTCTACTTCCATTTTCTTCCCTTAGATGTGATGAGGAACACAGGGTATTACCAATTGTGTGCCTCCCTCTAGTGGTACATAGGGAGAAAGACCATTACAAGGTTTTGCCTTTTAAACTATGATGAAATAAGAAAATCAACATGAAAAAATATATATGCATCATGGATATAATTTCTTAATCTGTTCTCATTGATCAATGAAGAACCACTAAACATGGCCTGGCATGATGGTTCAGTGGTTGAATTATTGATTTGCAAATGCTAGAATCCCATATTGGTGTTACTGTGTCCTGACTGCTCCACTTCCCATCCAACTCCCTGCTTGTGGCTTGGGATAGCAGTAAAGGATGGCCCAAAGCCTTGGGACACTGCATCCATGTGGGAGACTGGCTCCTGGCTTCAGACCGGTTCAGCCCTGGCTGTTGCAGAGACTTGGAAAGTGAACCAGCGGAGGACCTTTTCTCACTGTCTCTCCTCTTCATAAATCTGCATAGTCCTTGCCTTGTCAGTTCTAATCCCATTACCCCCACTTCCCATTCAGCCCCCTGCTTGTGGCCTGGGAAAGCAAAGACAGTCCTAAGCCTTGGGACCTGCACCCACGTGGCAGACCTGAAAGAGGCTCCTGGCTCCTGGCTTCGGATTGGCTCTGCTCTGGCCATTGTGGCCTCTTGGGGAGTGAATCATCAGACAGAAAACCTTCCTCTCTGTCTCTCTTCCTCATTGTAGATCTGACTTTTTAATTAAAAAAAAAATCTGCCTTTCCAATACAAATAAATAAATTTTCTTTTTTAAAAAAATCACTAAACATCATGTGTTACTTTCATGTGTGAGAAACCTACTCATTGGTTAGTTAAATGCTGCTATGGGGTAAGAGTCTATCTTGTAGTCCTTTATATCTTTAATTGACTACACAGTTATAATAGATTTTCATTTTATTCCAAAAATTTATTGATAGAGTTGGAAAATAAATGGGTTTTTGGGAGGGGTATTTTAATCATTACCTTAGCGCAGTCTCCTCCGGGAAGGATTTCTTGAATGTAGACCAACGGCCCTTCATTCCGATTAATTCCTCCTAGTATGTTGAGACCAAGTCCGGCTTCTTTCACAACTGTGATGACCTGCAAGGCAGGGTCCCTGGAAGAAAACAGTACTCCCAGGTGAGGAGAGAGGCTGGCATGCCCGTTCTTCCTTAAACCATGTCAAATCCTTAAATCTAGACAACCCAAAATAACTCGTAACTGAAAGAAATTACATTTCTAAAAAGTATGGTGACATAAATCCAGTGGAATTTTTCCTTTTCTTTTTTCAAGTTGAATTTTACCTTTGTATTTTAAAGTTTCTCTACAAAACAATCAAAAAGATTAAAGGATTTATAGCAGCAATGTTTACTTATTTGGACCAAAACAATAAAAATGGTTTAAAATATTTTAGTGAAATTTAAAACTAGCTAAACGTAGCTAAAGACATGCTTTTAGTTGATTGCTGGATTACATTGAAGGATTTCAGAACTGAACATGTTGACGAAATAATTTCAGAAGATACATTTGTACCCACTTAGAGAAAAATAGATGACTTGTGTTCAAATCTCAAAAATAAAATTTAGCTTTTTAATTTAGCAAGAGCGTTTTCCTGGAAGAAAATAATTGCTTCAGTTACTATTGCTGGCGGCCATTAGAATAATGCCATTTGAAAAGAAATTGTTGGAGCTGCTGCATTGGCGTAGCAGGCTAATTCTCTGCATTGGCAGTGCATACAGGCACCGGTTCATGTCCCGGCTGACTTACTTCCAACCCAGCTCCCTGCTTATGGCCTGGGAAAGCAACAGAGAATGGCTAAAGTCCTTGGTCCCCTGTACCCGCTTGGGAAACCCAGAAGAAGCCCCTGTCTCCTGGCTTCACATTGACTCAGGCCTGGTCATTATGGTCATTTGGGGGCTGAATCAGCAAGCAGAGGATTCTCTGTCTCTCCTTCTAACTGTAAATCTGCCTTTCAAAAAAAATCTTAAAAAGAAGAAATTGTCCAGAAAAATCTGCAAAAGGAATACTTTCAAGTTTTGCTTCTGCATCTTCTGATCAGAAGAGTCAAATAAAACTTGATTAAAATTTGAAAGAAGACTCAGTGTTGTCTTTTTGTCACATACAAAGCATTATGGTCAGCAATATACAAAAACAGTGACATTCAATTTAACATTTATAAAATTTTCATATTTTAAAAAAGATTTATTTATCTTTATTGGAAAGGCAGAGTTACAGAGAAAAGGAAAGGAGAGAAAGATTTTCTGTCTGCTGGTACACTCCCCAAGTGGCTATAATGGCTGGAACTGAGCCAATGCGAAGCCAAGAGCCAGGAGCTTTCTCCAGGTCTCCTACATGGGTACAGGGTTCCAAGACTTTGGGCTGTCCCAACCCACAAGTAGGGAGTTGGAATAGAAATTGGGCAGCTGGGACATGAACTCATGTCCTCATGGGATCCTGGCATATGCAAGGCAGATTCAGCCACTGAGCCATCTCACTAGACCCATATCCTAATAACTATTATTTCCATGTTTTAAAAGAGCCAAAATTCAGGTAGGTAATATGGGCAGCAACGTGGGCAAAGTGACAGAACTGCTCCCCTAGCATGTAAAACCACTGCTGGGTAAAGGTCTTCTGACCATCTCCAAACATATCAAAAACAAAAACTATTATTAAAAAATACATTGCATATTCTGCCAATGATACATAAGAAAAAAGTTTTGTAGATTCTGCCATAAAGTATCTAAGTATATTTTCAGGAAAACTGTTACAGGTAAAAGTTAATAAAAATAAAATGAAAGACAATTTAAAAAACCCTCAAAATTACTGTCTTCCAATATTTTGCTCTCTGTAGTGTATCATGCAGGGTTGCTATTCTTAACGGGATGTTAGACTGAGGAAGCACAAAACAGCCAAGCCTATAAACGGAAAAGATAAAGGAGAGAAAGACAGCCAAGGTACCTCAGTAGCAAATCCCTCAGGTGATGTCCTGAACCCTAGAAGTGTGGATTTCCTGCAACAGGAGTATATATAATTTCTGAGATTTATTATCATTTCAGGGAAGAATTATTCCTCCTTCTAACCCCAACAGAATACCTACTGCTATATACTACTACACCTCAATTTTTTTTGTCTCTGAATTGTTTTCTCGATTCATAAACTATAATGCCAGTAGTGTAAGACTCTGCTTTTCTATCTAGAAGTTTATTTCGTTACTATTATTATTTTTTATTTGAGAGGCAGAGTTAGAGAGGAGGAAAGAAAGAAAATTTCCATCTATTAATTCATTCCCCAAATTACCATGGTGGTCAGAGCTGGGCTGATCTGAAGTTGAGAACCAGGAGCTTCTTCTGGGTCTTCCCTGGGTACAGGGGCCTATGGACATAAGCCATCCTCCACTGCTTTCTCCCAGGCCATAAGCAGGGAGATGGACCGAAGTGGAATAGCTAGGACATGAACTGGTGCCCATATGGGATGCCAGTGCACAGTAGAAGCTTAGCCTGTACTCCATGGTACTGGGCCCCATCTAAAAATGGTATGTTCAATCTCCACGTTGTTAAAAGTTTCTCTTAAATGTGCATTTCAATGGCAGCATATAATTCATACACAGGGTTAAGATCTTATGTTAAAAGTTTCATAAGATTTTAGATTAATTTTATTTTTAGAATTAAGATGCTATGCTGCTTTACTTCAACCACAAAAACAGAATCTAAAGTTAAAACCACGCAGCAATACTATTGCTCACTAATTCCTATTATATTAATAAAACTTTGATTCTAGAAACATACTTTTATGTCAAAACTGTAGGAAATGAGGCACAGTAGTACATGGTTGGTGGGATTACAAAATGGAACGTCTAAAGAAAATATCTGATAATCTCTAACAAAAAAAAGTATTATCTAATCCAGCAAGCCCACTTCTAGAAAAAAATACACCTAAAATTACTTTGGAAAAAAAGAAAGACATACACATTAGCTTATTCATTTTGGCATAATTCATATTTCCCCAAAATTGCAAACTATCTAATAGTCCATCAACAAGGCTGAATAAACTGTGAATAATCCACAAAATGAAACACAATGCAGTTATAAGACAGCAGAAAGAAAATCTTGGTAAGGTGACATGAAGTGATTGCCAGGATATAATTTTGAAACAAAAGGGTCAGGTCAAAACAGTATATGCAATCTTGTAGTTAAGAATTTTCTATAGAGTGCAATCCAAAAAATTAATATGTATATATAATTATTGCAAGTACTTACATTAATGTGTTTATGTGTATAAGCAGAAAAAAGAACCAAGAATAAAAATGGTTCCTGGAGTAAACGTTTGATCTGTCAAATAACATAGTCAATTAACATAAGATGTCTGCTCCCAGTTCTAGCTTTCTCTCTGTTCTTAATTATCTGCTCCCAATTCTAGCTTACTAGCACACTTACCTGGGAGGCAGCACATAATGGCTCTATTACTTGGATTCCTAAGTCCTATGTGGGAGAACTAGACTGAGTCCCTGGCTCTTGGCTTCAACCTGGCCTCATTGCAGCCACTGCAGACATTTGGGGAATGAACTGTTGATGGGATTTTGCCATCTATTGAGCAAAAGAACCACAAGTCTATTTAGAGGCTAGCATTTAGCATTGTGGTTTAATTGCTGTTGGTGACACTTATACCCCATACGGGGGTGTCAGTACAAGTCCCGGCTACTCTATTTCCAATGCCCAGCCCTGGCTTTTACAGCCATTTAAGATGTAAATCAGTCAATGAAAGATATCTCACTTTCTAGCCCCTGCCCTCTCTATTTCTCTGCCTTTAAAATGAATAAATCATCTTCTTTGTAAAGGTTATCTATTGAAGAGATGGAGAGCAGAGTAAAGGACAAGAATAGGAATTGTGAGCATATGGCATGTCCATGAAATACCAACTCTGCATGACCCTTGCTAATATGACTTCCTGTCACTGCTTCCTTTCATTCAAAGCCTCTCCCTCAATTCCAATCTTGTTGTCTAAATTGCTCTGGCCAATGTGACAACATGAAATGTGAGGAAAATATACATTTCTTGCTGAGGAATGATTCTGCTAACATGTGAAGTCTGAGGCAGCTTCCTCAAAAATGAGAGACCAACTCAGCAAAATAAAACAAAACAAAACAAAACAAAACAAAACAAAACAAAACAAAACAAAAAGACCTCAGCCATCGACCTTCACGAGCTGACTCCTCAGGACCCTCAAATGAGACCATTTCACAGCTCCTGGTGGGGGCTGGAGCTACTTAGACCATCCCCAGAATCACAAGACGGCACCAATGCTGATTGTCTCAAGATATTTTAGAGCAGTTTGCTAGTCAGCAGAAACTCATCTTACATTAGTAATTTTTATACGGAAATTATGAAACCAAAATTTTAAAAGAACACTACAAATAATTTTAAAGAGAATGCAGATTTTGGCCCATACACTGCTTCAAACTGACATACAGGTTAATTCAATACTTCACTTATTAAAAATCATGAGTAATGGTCACGGTGGACAGCTAGAAAGACAAAATCTTGCTACTAAAAACTCACTAAAAATCCACATAGTTTAAACTAGGATATTACAAAGCACATTAAAATTGATTTGAAGATTACTTTTCAAGTAGACCAGATGATTCCACAGCAGATGTATTTTTACTCATGCTTTCACCACAGTAGCCTTGGATTTAGCAGCTGTGTAAATGAAGAACTTGATGAGGAGTCTAGAAATTCTTCCTTCCCTAAGATTGGAGAAGTAGAAAATAAACTGTTGGCTCTTAGAACGGTCAAATTTCATTCCAACTTTGCATAAAAACATGTATACTTGGCACATAAAAATATACGCATGTGTATAGATGTTAGATGTACTTTACGTAATTTGGGGCTATGGCATTTTAGTCAGTGATGAGAACATCTGAGAAGTGCGAACACAGTTCTCTAGATAGATGGCAGGCCTACACCATTATGGACATATCTGCATAAAATCCACATCCTCTGGCCAAAGGGATGAGCAGAAACAGGCTCAAAAAATTCATGGAAAGTGAGTATTCTTGGTTAATTCACTTTCGCACACACATCTCTTACGTCCCCTCATCCAGCTGTATATTAGCTAACAATTACAGCTTCCGTCACTATAAAGTTTAGAAATCAAATAATAAGGGCTGGTCCGATGGCTCATTTGGATAATCCTGCACTTGTGAGTGCTGACATCCCAGGCTGGCACTGGACGGTGTTCCAGCTACTCCACTTCCCATCCAGCTTCCTGCCTGTGGCCTAAGAAAGCAGTGGAAGATGGTGCAATTCCTTGGGACCTTGAACCTGCTGGGAGGCCCAGAGGAAGCTCCTGGCTCCTGGCTTCACACTGGCTTGGCTCCAGAAGCTGTGGTCATTGGGGAGAAAACGGGAGGCTGGAAGATCTTTCTCTCTGTCTCACCTTTCTGTAAATCTGCCTTTATGATAAACCTGAATAAATACTGAAAGGAAAAAAATGACCACATCTCAGACCTTTCCAAAACAATGACATAATAATTGGGCCTGGCTTTGTGGCAGAGTTGACTAAGCCACCTCTTGCAAATGCGGGCATCCTGTATCAGACTGCCAGTCCAACTCATGGCTTCTCTACTTCCAGACCCAAATGCTTGGTTTTCTGGTAACCAGATGGAAGACCCAGAGTCTGGCCTCCAAGCTTTGGCCTCAGCAGTCCTAGCTTGCAGTCATTCAAGGAAGGAACCAGCAAATGGAAGACGTCTCTGTCTCCCCTCTTTCTTTGTAACTTTGCCTTTCAAATACATAAATAAATCTTTCAAATATATACGTGCATTTTAAAAACCACATAATAAAAGCTTAAGGGCAATGTTTTCTATGAACACAAGGCTACGAAATTTAAGGCCATAAAAATAATTACACAACATAATTAAAGAAAACAGAACTTTTTTATTATCTCACCAACTCTCGAGAGACTTCCTTCAGGCCTTCTAACTTCCTTCTGATTACGCTGATTCATATCACTCCATGAGCTTCTTAAATACTCTCTGCTGAAAAGAAGAAAAGATTATGTCTTATGTAGCTCCACTGTGAAAATTAGTGAACAGTGCAATTTCACTTAATTAAAAGAAACTGTATTTGAATAGAAGTTTACCACCTCTAAATAAGAAATATGAATGGAGCATATTCGTTTGATTTGAAAAGGACAATAGGGTTATTTAGTGTAATTTTTCTACTAAGGAAATGAGAAACTTAGATTCAGAAAGACTGCTCTTCCCACTCAAATGAGGAACAGTCAGGGTGCTTTCCAAGTCAAATAACAGGCCCGACAGCCTGTGTGCTGAGACTTCACGAACCATGGTCTTATTTGAGATTTTGTCAAGTCTCAGTTTCCTCATAATTCTATTATTTACCCAAACTGCAGTGGTAGTTTCACAACTGGATACAAATGTAAAACTTAACAGACTGTCTCACTTTAAAAGCCTGCAGTTTGGGCCTGGTGCAGTAGCCTAGCACCTAAAGTCCTTGCCTTGCACAAGCCAGAATCCAATACGGGCGCCGGTTCTAATTCTGGTGGTCCCACTTCCCATCCAGCTCCCTGCTTGTGGCATGGGAAAACAATCGAGGACGGCCCAAGACCTGGGACCCTGCACCCACATGGGAGACCTGGAGGAAGTTCCTGGCTCCTGGCTTCAGATCAGCTCAGCTCTGGCTGTTCTGGCCAATTGGGGAATTAATTAGTGGACGGAAGATCTTCTTCTCTGTCTCTCCTTCTTGCTGTATATCTGACTTTCCAATAAAAAAAAATCTTTAAAAAAATGTCCTACAATTTGTTGTACATTAATGGAGGCCTGATAAAATAAATCTAAAACTTATTTTATTGTTAAAATGCACGTTGACCTTGGTATCGCGTATCCCTCCTAAAAGCCCATTAATTTGTGAGTAAATAGTTACAAATTACATGAACTCACAATGTTAAAAAGGAAATGAGAAATGAGCCATTAGATGAAAATTTACAAGTTTCCCCAAACTTCTGGAAGACAAAAACAGAGCTGACAAAGATACTAGGGCCACACTTCATAAACACTGTGAGTTTGAGCACATGGACACACACACACACACAATGATAATATGTGTAGGTGGAACTGGGTTCCAGAGAGGTGGCATCCTCTAAAGACGCTGAGGGGAACCACTGTCTCAGCATACTGTCAGCTTTTTAATGGCAAAATGCTAGCTAAGGAAACAGGTGCAGGAAGAACCTATCTTGCAGAATCCCACACAGGCAGGAGCAGTCAGAATCCTGGAGTTTACAGGAGGAGCAAAACTGAAAACTGAAATCAAGATCACTCTATCTCTTCTCTAGCCATTATATACTGAAGAAAATCAAATATTTTATTTTGTAAATCAATTGAATGGATCCTGGCCAAACAACAGCTGGTTTTTTTTTGGGGGGGGGGGCGGGTGTCTGACATAATGTTATACTCCCTGGTCTGGGTGTTAAAAGCATAATTCAGCCTTCATAGCCACCGCAGCAGCAAGCAACAGGACAATAAAGCATTCAGATTATCAGCAGAGAAATGGAGCCACAGCTCCACTTGCTGTCAGCAGCACAAACCTAGCAGTCATTTAACAAAGAGTTAACTTTTACCCCATGAAGATGTGAGACTGAGGGGTAAGGGCTTTGCCTAATCATCAAGAGCTAATTACAGCTGTTACAAGACTGACAGAGTTATGCAATAGTTCAATTCTAAAGGTTATTCTGTGGAAGCTCATTAAGCTTTGCTTTAATAATACGCACAAGGGGTAGGTTCTTAGCCCTCAACAGAGAAAGTCCGACATAACAATAACTACCTTTTATTAGCACTATGCATTGTTTTCCAAATGCATTTAACTTAATATTGTAGAAAATGCAAGTTTAAAAATTTAAGTTCAAATGGCAATACTGCTGTGTGTTAGTCATATAACTTTAGATGCTTAGGCTTCTGGCATCTCCTTACGTTAAGGTGGTATATTTACACTGAGATTAAAGGGAGATGTAAACCAACCTGGGACCAGTGAGTAAGATCGCCATCTAGTGGTCATTCTTCCCAACCGGGCACAGGATTCCCAGGCCCCCGGGAAGATAACTAAGTGCAATAGAAGCATCAATTGCTGAATCTCTGTAATAAATTTCATATAATGCAATACCTACTAAGACATTCAAAGCATTTTCATGAAATTAATTTATGTGAAAAGCTTAATTCACCAAAAAAAGTAGGATAGGAAGCTACAGTAGTAATATATGTTGTCTTTTTTTTTTTTTTGAGGTTACAAAAATAGTTCATGGAAAATAGAATGCAAAGTTCAAACATTTTGAAATCAATATGTGGGTTTTCCACAATATGCACTTTCCATGAACTGTTTGGAAAATCCTCAAATGAAGATCATATTACTGATTAAATTTTTCACAACAGGAATGTGTTTGATTTTATCCAAACTGCAGTTGTTAATAAGACACCCACCGTTACATTTTTAAATATCACAAAATGCCCAACCCTTGCCTAGCCTTGCATCTTATAAGATCCTCACCAGCAAGAGTTTTACACACACACAGCCACATCATTAATGAATGACAGAGAAGCAAAACATTCTGTCCTCCACTAAAAATATGCACAGTCAAGGGAAACATGCTGTGTTTGGGGGCTTGGCGAGCCAGCAAAAACAGAAAGTAGAGCACAGAAGCAAAAAAAAAATGTGTTTTATAACAAAAATCCAATCCAGAAAACTTAGAGCTTCACTTTGATATACAAATCTCTCTGCTTATGATCTCATCAAATCGGTTTCATTACACATAATTAAAAGGCTCACTAGAGAACAACAAATCTTTCCAGCATGCATGATCTTGGTACTCAATATTTTATGAAACTGGTAAGATTTTACTAGATCAAAAACAAGAGAGAAAGGCACAAAAGCATCATCTGCCAAAAACTCCAATAAATATTCAATACTGTAAGATTGCTAGAAACTACAAAAATGACCCTCGACTGCATAGTACCACTGCACTAATACTTCTGCCTCAAATTCGAAATTCTCATCAATACGCTATATTGGATAACTTTTGGATTATTGTTAGTCTCATTGATGAAAATGGTATCTTAAGACAATCTAAATGAACATTTCAGTGGTTTTTTTTTTTATTAATTACATTGCATTATGTGACACAGTGCTATGGGCACTGGGATTCCCCCACCCCTCCCTGAACCCTTTCCCCATGGTGGATTTCTCCACCTTGCTGTGTTACCACAGTTCAAATTCAGTTGAGGTTCTTTCATTGGAAATATTTACCAAGCATAAAGTCCAGTGTCTTATTATCCTAGTGGGTTCAACGATTTCTTGGTGAGACCATCTCTGGTCTGAAGGTAAAGCCAGTAAATTATTATCGCAATCAATTAAAAGCCCGAACATAACATCAACAACCATTTACAACCTTATGGCATTAATTGACATGGCATTGATTAATAGTATGTTAATAGGAAAATGCGGGTTCTTAACTATATCCTGTGACTTCTTCATAAACATTTCAATTTTTGGTTTATATTCAACCAGATTCCATACAGTTATCAGTTCAGGTACAGTACATTTTTATAGGATGGGTGTGCAGAGAAATCCCCAATACTCCAGTGAGGCGAACTAGTCTTTGTGACCCATCTAATGAGGAATGAAGAACACTGGGTGCCATGGCCTAGTAGGAGCGACCCCTCAATAACACCCACAAAGCCCACACCCAGTCATGGTTTCTGCATGACCCAGACCACATTCCATCTGGCTCCCTGCACACGTGTGGGTGCTCTGTCTGACCGGTCCCCAGACCTGGCCTTTGCATATGCAGACATGTGTCACTGCCCTGTCCAACCTGGCCTCACCCTAGCACTGGTTCTTATGCTCACCAGTAGAAGGTACAGCCTAGCAGAGTTCTCCTGCCAGCTACCTTCCCAGACCTGCTTCCTGCACCTGGCAGGGGGTACTGTGATCCAGCCTGACATGACTCACACCCAGTCTTAGCACTTGCCAACCGGTGCTGTGGCCTAACCCAGCTAATCTGCCTCCATTCTGGCTCTTGTGCATGCCTATGAGTGCAGCATTCTAGCCCAGCCCCAAGCCCCAGTTTTTTCGCTCATCCATGGAAGCAATGGAACAGTGAGGGAGTCCTAGGAGCTCTCCTGGTAGACCTGCTCCCAGGGCTGGGTCTTGCACATGCCAGTAGGTGCTTCAGCCTGGCTTAGCTCAGCCTGCCCTAGTTTCAGCTCTCACTAGTAGTTATAGCAGTATAGTCTAACCTGGCCCACCCTCACTCTCATGTGAACTGGTGGGTATTGCCGTCCAATGTGTCTTGGCTTGCATTCTGCCCTAGATTTCACTTGCGCCAGTGTCTGCTATGGACTGACCCTCCTTGGATGTCCTCAGACTCGGCTCACTTGCCAAGGGGTGCTGCTGCTCAGTCTGCTCTATCCTGCTCCCAGCCATGGTTCTTGTGCTCACTAGTGGCAGTTGTGTCTAGTAGGGGAGCACTCCAAGTTCCTCTACTAGGTCCGCCCTCAGCAATGGACCTTACTTGTGCCGGTGGGTGCTGCTGCCTAGACTGACATGCCTGGCCACCAATCCTGCCACTCAGTGGGTAGTACAGCCAAGCCCAGCCTGGTGCAGCCCCAGATCCAGCTCCCAACAGGTGCCATGGTCTAGTCTGACTTGTCCCATACCCATTCTGGCTCTCAAGATCACCAGTGGGTGCTAGAGCCTAGCCCAGTCTAGGTTGTTCCCAGACCCAGCCCATACACATGCCAATGGTTGCTGCAGCCTTGCCCAGTCTGGTCTACTCACAGCCCCAGTTTGTGAATTCACCAGTGGGAGCTATAGCCCAGCAGGTAGGTCCCCAGAGTTCTACTATCAGACCTGTTTCCAGTACCAGATTTTATGAGTGCTGACATGTGCTTCAACCCAGCCTGGCATGGAACATCCAAAGTTTCAGCTCTCATTGGCAGGTGTTGCAGCCTAGCACAGCCAGGTGTGACGCACAACTCTGTCCTGGATACATGCTTGCCAGTGAGTGCCATGGCCTGGCCCAGTCTGATCTTATCCACACAAATGCTGACAAATGATACAACCTTGCCTGACCTGGCCTGCCCCCAGCCCTGGCTCTTTTGCTCCTCAGCAGGTGCTGTGGCCTATTAGGGGAGTTCTTCAAGTTTCCTTACCAAGCCTGCTCTCAGTCCCAGATCTTATGTGTGTCAATGGGAGCAATGTCTCTGCTTGGCACAGTCTGCCCTCAGTCCCAGCCCTTACAGGTACTGGTGGATGCTGCAGCTGGCCCCACCCAGCCTCATCCTAGTCTCAGCTCCTGTGAAATGTCAGGTGGGTTCCTATCAGGTGAGTTTTGTGGTCCAGCCTGGCTCAGCCTCTCACTGCCCCCAGCTGTCCACTTAAGCCACTGGATCCTGCAGTCCCACAGGGGAGAGCCCACAATTCCCCTACAGAATCTGTCCCCACCAGATTCTGTTCCTTTACTTTCTGGTGGATGCTGCAGCTCAGCATGATGTAGCCAACCCCTGCTTGTGTGGGTGGGTACTGTGACCTAGCCCAGCCAGGCATGTTCTGCCCACCCCAACCCCAGCTCACCTGAGTGCCTGTGGAAAGCAAGCAATCCTATTTAGTTTAGCCCAGGTTTCCCACGTCGGGCGGGTGCCTTGGCCTAAGCCAAACATGCCCTCCGGATTCTTCCCTTTAACCATTCCATCTCAGTTTCCTCACCTACCTGTCAGTGTAATGGTTGTCTGTGGAAGACCCCAGAAGTCATTCTTTCCCTATCAAACATGTGCTTAGCTGCTCCCACTCCAATTTGTCCCCAGATGGCCTTCTCCAGGCAATGTGCAGCACCCCAACCTGGGAGGAGAGGTGGCATATGCAAGAGCGGAGTTCCCTGAGCTTTGAAAAATGAGAGAGAAAGGGGGGGGGGGCGGGGAGGAAGGAAGAAAGGAAAAAAAGGAGAAGAAAGAAGTAAGGAGAGGAGAGGTGAGGAGAGGAGAGTAGAGGGGAGAAGAGGGGAGGCAAAGGAAAAACTACTATGCTAGGACACTGACATGGTTAACACAAATGTGGCATTAACCAGGCCCAGAATGCCTGCCAGCCACTGGCTGCTTTTCTCCCAGCAGTGTAACCCTTGCCTAGGTACAGGGCAACCCAAGCAGTCGACTATACCTGAGCATATTTCTTAAATTGTTAGGTTTTTTTTCCCTGTTCAGCTTTTATGAGCTTTTAACTCTTATGGAGGTCATTCTTCTGTCAGCACTAAGAACTATAAATATCCTTTCTGCCTTTTTGCTGTCAGTTACAGAGTTTTGTTTGTAAAAACTGTACCTAAAATTTTCATTGCTTTATGATTTCTGGGTTTTAGGTTAAATTAGAACCTCCTTTCCCCTACAAAGTTAAAAAGAACTCTCTGGTAATTTCTTCATCTTTATCCACATGAAAGCCATCGAAATACACAGAGGAATTCATTCCTTATGTCTTTCTCCTAAGATCATCACCCTGTTGTTGTGACCATTTTGTTAAAGAAACCACCTTTTCCCATCATTTTGAGATGTGTCCGTTATCATATACTACATCTTATAAGTATTCCTTAATTTATTTACTTACTCCCATTAGTTGAAAGGCAGAGAGATAGAGGGAGAGAGGGTGCCAGCAAAACAAAGAAATCGATCTTTCATTCCAAATGCTTTTAACACAAGGGGCAGAACAGGAGCTGGGATCTTCATCTGGGTTTCCTAACTGGGTGGTAGGGACCCAAGCACCTGGGACATCATTTGCTGCCTCTGACGATGTGCAATCACAGGAAACTGCATCTGTAGCATCCTGGCCTGAACAAGGCACTCCAACACGGGATGCAGGAATTACAAGAGGCAGACAAACCTTTAGTGCCACCATGCCAATCCCTACATCCATAATTTTTAGTGTGGTTCTGTGGTTAACCCATTCATTCACCAATGTTATTCTATTTTACCTGCTGAAGCATTATTTATTTATTTTTTAAATTCTTGTTAGGACTAATCTTTATTGCCCTTTCGAAAACAAGTTTCTTTGTTGTCTACTATTACTTATTAACTTCAGAATCACTTTATTTTGTTTAGAAAATAAAAGAATGCTATCAGTCTGAAATCACATTTAACTTACAAGGTAAGGAAGTATTGGTAGCCAGTTATACAATGTTATTTTGAGTCTTCCTTCTGAAAACCTGGTACATGATTTCTTTTGCTCCAGTGTTTGTGACATTCAGTAATGCTTTAAGTTGTTTTCATCCTGATTTTTCTTACATAGTATTTAGATAATCCTTACATATTTTACCTTGTTTTTTGTTAATGTCTTTTAAAAATTCATTATTTTGTAAATGACAAAAATTGGTTTTGGAAAGATTTAGGGAAGAATCTTCTAGAAAATGACTTCTTTCCACTCCAAATTCCATTGTATGATTAAGTGTATTCATTTAAAAATGTTACAAATAAACAAAGCAATTAAAAAATAGGCAAATTCAGCTAAATCTCTGGAAAACTGTGTAACTGCAATATTGGTTTAGGAGCAAGTATGTATCTTAACACACACGCACCTTGTCATTGGTAATTAATTAGCAGATGTATTGAGCTATTATTGCAAAGATTAAAATAATACATCTAGAACAGACTCACAAAAGCTGTGTAAGCAACAGCCTAATTCCCATCCTTCCTTGCCAAATATTTCTATTGTACTTCAAAGTGATTAGCCAGCTGTGAGGTTCAGGAACTTTTTCATGTCTTAGAGTTGTCTGTGTAGAGTAAAAAGAACATCAGAAGGAAAGAGGAAAAACAAAGTGTGAGTGATGAGAGTTGTCGACTTGGTGCAAAGCCTAGTTTCTCAATAAGCATAAAAAGTTCATATGAAAGGTACTTTGTCAGAAGCTACTGGCCATCGAGAGGTCTCTGAAGATCCACCAGACTGTCCCAGGAACTGGAGGAAAAGCTAGCCCATTCCTACGGCATGTGAAGGCTTATGATCATATTGTTAAAGACTAAACAAAGGAAAAGGAAGGAGGCCAAGGAGGTTTCTGCTTAGGTGAGACCACTGGTAAGACTCTCCCGGAGCAGAGATTTAAGTTTCCTGAGGGAGAGAAGGTTCCCACACTTGCTAAGCAAGCAGACTCCACAGAGCCATCACAGGGCACTCCGATTTTATGGTCAAAAAGGAAGCTGTGGCTATGGGGAGAAGCACCTAAGAGCTTCAAATTGAAAATTTAGGACACTTAAGAAAAGTTATAGCTAATAACAAGGAGGTGAGGACAGGTGCCAAGGA